ACCAACCTTCGAAGCATTTGGAGGCAGGGATTAATTCCAGGAGGTCTTGGAGAAGGTCATCGGATGTTCACGTTCTTCAACCCGTATGTGCCATGGGATCACAGATCATGGACCATCACGAAGGGCGTTGATACGCGAAGAGGGGACTACATGTGCTTGTTCGTCCCGACCGAGACCTTGATGGTGGAATATGGCGGTCGACTGACTGACTCGGGACAGATCGTCTCACCAAAGATCATCCCGTTCTCGGCAATCAAAGGAGGATGGATTCAGGACCCAAAGGACCAAAACAATAAGACATGGCTCCGGTTGTTCGTCCCGTCGGGCGACGACCAGGTAGTCCGGTCTGGAACTATCAAATCAAGAACGGTAGCCACCAAGGAGTCCATCTTGAGGGTTGCAAGTCAGTGCATCGACGCCGAAGATCAACCGTTTGACGAAACCGCCATGGATGCCATGAACATCGTCAACCAATTCAAGAACAACCTCATCGAGCCTGGCGGACAAGAGCAATACCTGGCCCGCATCAAGCTGATTGACTACATAGTCGAACGCAAAAGGGTGCAAACATCAGGTTGCCGCCATTGTCCTCACTGTCTCAATGAGACGCCGACAAAACTAGCAGTGTGTCTAGTTTGCTGGACGGAACTTGAAAGTTGTGGAATCCGTCCCTATCGGCTACAAGCTCCTGAAGACGATGAAGATGAGGCCACGAAGAAAGAGATCGATGAAGAAGTTCGTCGACAAGAAGAATCGTTGTTCAAGGATACGGTCCATCAAGCACAAGAAAACGTATCCGAATCCAACGACTATGGCTTCAATCCTGACGAGGTCGACTACAACGAAGGCGATGATGAGGAAATGGATCAGGAGGAGGAAGCCCAACAGGAAGACGACGAAATCGTTGAAGAAGACGACGATGAAATGGAAGTCGAACCTGAAGAGAACCCTCTTCCAAACTTCCAGCATGGACCAAGAACCTCGAGAGCGGCAGCAAGGGTATGCCAGAAGACGGACTTATCAACAATGATGTCTCCGAGGCCGCGGCTCACTTGTATGACAATGCCGTCATGTCAAAGATCATCACAATGTTCAGGCTCTACTACAAACAGAGAGTCACTCTGACCCCAGAGGAGTACTATGAGATGATGACGGAAACCAAGCGAGTCCGGCTGGACCTGGACGACTTCTGTCCTTATACAGGAGAAGACCAGGATGGCAACCTCAAGCGCCCGACGGAGCTGGAGTTGGATGAACTCTTTCAGGAGAAAGGGAAGAGGAATTCATGGTCAGAAGGAGAGAAGTTATACTCAGGGCGACCAAGAAACATGATGATGCCTGTCATCAAGACTTTAGAGATCTATGAGAAGATGATGGAATTTCTGGTACGCGCCGGGTACACTCCTGAGTCATTAGGCTTTCTCATGCCAATGAACCGAATGCAGGCTGATGCCCAAGGGAAACAGGAGATGCGAGTAACCATCAGCAATTTCCTTCGACGACTGCTCAAAGGAACCTTTCCGGAGCACGAGTCATACACCTTCTTTCGCTCCGGGAGCCACGGCTTCCCCAACTGCATCGAACTCCCAGCTTTCTCAGTATATCTGAGCCTGAGGGAGAAAGAACAGAGAGTAGAACTGCTCTTTGCCGCCCAACAATGTGGCATTCCTTTACCTCAAAACTTTGTCAGCAAGATGGCTTATGCTATTCAGCTGGCCGAGGCCGAGGCGCAGAGGGGAAAGACCGAGATGAAAACGAAGATGGCTCCAACCCTTGGCGACGAAGTGGTGAGTGAAGTATTCAAAGCGGTTGGACATACTGCAGCTTCCAAGTTTGCTAAACCACCCGCACAACCTTCACAGACACCTGAAGGCACTGGTTCAGCATCATCCTCATCGGCTAGCGCACCAAAGGGCAAGGCTATGCCGAAATCCCATGAACCATCAAAGGCACCGCCTGCAAAGCCTTCATCGCCGAAAGCTGCTCCGAAACGTGCGGCAGGATGGGAGAGAACTCCAACAGCACCTCAATGGAAGAAAGTCCGCCGTGAGCAGTAAACCAATTGCTTCGATCCGTCAAAATGATCACTGGGCTACAAGATGTTTACCGTCTTTATGAACAGATGATCAGGAAAAGACCAACTGAGTGGACACTGAGCGAGGCATTAGACTAATTCGCTTAGGTTCAAGACTTTTGATATTCCCAATCTGCACGAGATTCTGCAATGTGCACGTGAATTCGTTAGTTAGCATTGTAAACCTTTGGTAGCGAAGCGATCCATTTCTCCCGACGGGTGAGTGGCGGGCTTAGCCAACGTAGAAAAGTAGATGTTAGCTAGCAATAATTCGCGTTGTACAGCTTGATGAAGCGCCGATGCATCGACAGCCAAAGAGTAGGTGAACCCTGAACCATTATACCCGACGGGTATGTGGGGAAGGGGGATCCGAATGGCACGTTTTATGTAAATAGGCGTAATTCAAGTAGCAGAACAAATCTAATTCAAAGTTCCCTCTCTCGTGTCCGTGGCTCGAAGAATGCCATGGGCATGGGGGGTGTCAAAGGGAACTAAACGCTAGGACACTTATCATGTACATATGTGATTGTGCATTGAAACGCCGTACTGGCTCAAGTCCCTGCGCGAGGAAAAGTCCGAGCTCCGCTTGCAATGCCGTAACGCTGTCCAAAGCTACCAGCATAACGGGTATCACAGCTCAATAACTACATCCGGAACAAGGATCCATTTGTTCACAATATGTACATAGTTTGATGTTACAGTACTATAGCATTTAAAACGATAGGGGTTTATTAAGATTACTTACATATTAGCTACATAGGGATGTAACCAACAACAATGGTAGCATTATGGTGATATTGGTGGAATATTAATGGATGTTAATCATATTAAATGGAATATTATGGTCGTCGACAGAATTTTGGAAATGGAAAAAAGGTTCGACATGGGCAGGTAAACAACTGCGGCGCGCCGGGGCCGTATTTTTCCATAATTCTGTTTTACTGATAAAAATGCACACCTCAAAAATCGGTAATACCTTGTATACCGAACCTTTTTGGAAGGGGCGTGACGTGCTGCAGTTAAAGTTCCATATATATTTTTTCCATGTGAGGGTGCTTCTTGGCATATGACCATTTCCATAATTATTTGTTTCCTGAAAGGGGTGACAACTTTTCTATTGACATGTTTCCATAATTCTTTTGGCCATGGCTACAGTGCATGATTATGGCTATAGTAGCATCAGTGGGAGATCAAAATAGACATGTGGAGGAATAATTTCACATGTACCCCTTAACACTTTCCTCAGTTTGTTGCCTTGTAGGCCCAACCCTGAGCACTGAAAACCCTGAATTCTCACAGGGGATGGGCGACTGCCGCAAGAATTTTCTCCCCATAATCCCGCAGGATGTAAGTTTCTGAAAGTCTGCACAAATCATGCAAAAACATTCAAAACTAGGTAGTTTGGAGGATCAGGATCCGAAAAGTAAGATTTCCAAAATTAATTTTGCATCGTGGATTAAAGGCTTTTGTAGACATTTGTATACATTTGTTTCATCCTTTTTTTTGAAGGATCAAGATCCGAAAACTGAATCTAGATTTAGTCCCAAGATCATGCAAATACGCTGTAAAGCAGGTAGTTTGAAGGATCAGGATCCGAAAAGTAAGATTTCCAAAATTAATTTTGCATCGTGGATTAAAGGCTTTTGTAGACATTTGTATGCATTTGTTTCATCCTTTTTTTTGAAGGATCAAGATCCGAAAACTGAATCTAGATTTAGTCCCAAGATCATGCAAATACGCTGTAAAGCAGGTAGTTTGAAGGATCAGGATCCGAAAAGTAAGATTTCCAAAATTAATTTTGCATCGTGGATTAAAGGCTTTTGTAGACATTTGTATGCATTTGTTTCATCCTTTTTTTTGAAGGATCAAGATCCGAAAACTGAATCTAGATTTAGTCCCAAGATCATGCAAATATGCTGTAAAGCAGGTAGTTTGAAGGATCAGGATCCGAAAAGTAAGATTTCCAAAATTAATTTTGCATCGTGGATTAAAGGCTTTTGTAGACATTTGTATATATTTGTTTCATCCTTTTTTTTGAAGGATCAAGATCCGAAAACTGAATCTAGATTTAGTCCCAAGATCATGCAAATACGCTGTAAAGAAGGTAGTTTGAAGGATCAGGATCCGAAAAGAAAGATTTCCAAAATTAATTTTGCATCGTGGATTAAAGGCTTTTGTAGACATTTGTCTCACTTGTTTTTTCTTTTTTAGAGGATCAGGATCTGAAAATTGCTATTTCCAAAATTCTTTTTATTGAAAGTCCGTAATGTCGCTAATCTTTTGTCTTGGTTTCGGTCCCAACCTTTTCCGCTAACTGCGGCGTGCGAACCCTTTTTCATTTCCAAAATTCTGTCGACGACTGTAAGCGAATATGACTGTTCCAATAAATGTTCAACTTGGGAATATTACTGTAATATTGGTGGCTTCTCATATTAATCATATACTGGAATATGAACTAACTAATGGAAAATAATTGCATAATGGAATATAAAAGAACATAATTAGCATGCAACACTATAATGGAATATTAATGATATTAATGGATGTCAACATATTAATTAGAGTGCTTCATGTTAATTATAGTTAATGTAGTTTATGTGCGTGGGAATATCGTATATATATATACATACAGGTTACATAGGGATTTAATAGATGTTGCCATGGAATTTGGTTGGATTACCGGAGGCGGTGTCATCGTTGCCATGGATGGGAAATCCCCCGAATGAAGAGGAAATTGACAGGAAGGAAAAATACATTGCGAAAAATCCCAATGGATGTTCTGTTGAAAAATTCATTTTAATGTTTTCTTGGATAATTATACCACTGAGTCACTGCTAAAAGAAGCTCTGGTTAGTAAGTCCCTTATTTATAAGTGGGTGAGATAACCCCGCAAACACCAAACCCAACAGCAGGCATTCATCGCTGAGGCTTGGAATGCCTCCTCCCTTTGGCCCAGGCAGAGCTGCCGAGAACAATGGCGGAGTGCTGAGGGGTGCTTCGTATACAGATGGATCTACCTGGCAAGATAGATAGATGCATGGATAGATAGGTAGATAAATGGTAGATAGATGCATAGATAGGTAGATGCATAGATAGGTAGATGGATGGATGGATGGTAAGGTGTGGGCTTATGGGTATAGTAGCATAAATCTCACATAGTGCTACATATGTCAGTGTTCGGCCAGGCCGCCAATGGAAGTGGTCTATCCCTACTTCCTTCCCTATGCCAGCTACCATGAAGCGAGTCAAGTCCTCGGTGGAAGCCCATGAACGACTACCGTTTGGGGATGTTGTGACAACCATTTTGGGTGGTTTATTATTGAATATTATTGATATCTATATATTTGTATATGTATATATATATGTGTGTGTGTGTGTAAAAAAAAGTAAGTAAGCAAATGACTAGGTGAACATATTTACATATATATATATATGTGTGTGTGTATATGTACTACACTGTGAATTTCATGCTAAAAACTGGCCGACATTTCACGGATAGGTGGTTCAACCACCTACCAGTAGAAGCTTTGAACCTCTGATGAGGAACGAATTGGCGACCGCCTTTCTTCGCCAAGTTCTTTCGATTGGTTGAGGGGCTCAAGACCAGTGCAGGGCCCAGTTGAATGGACACGGCTGAAGCTCTGAACCTTTAGAAGACACCAAAAATGTGCCCAAAACTGTATGAAAATCTGATTGAATCTGTCTGTCATCACCAAGAAAAACACTTCCAACAGAGTTGGTGGTAAGTCGCAGACTCTCCTCATACCAAGCCCTTCTGGTTGAAGCTTTGCTATGGATTTGGCAGCCTCTCTTTGGGCGGTGGTAGTTCTCATCTTTGCACAGTCGCTGAGGCCAAGAAGTAGTGAGCCACCAAGACAGTGACCGGGGAGCTGGGCCGCGGCATAGATGATAAGTTTGTAGGGAAGTTGCTGAAAGAACATCCACAGAATTGAGAAAATGAAAGCATCATCGAACCATTCAAGAAAATGTATGTGAATAACTTGGTCATTTTATTCAACCATGATTTATAAACCATGATAAACCATGATTTTTTAACCATCCTTTCGAATGATGGGTTCCTTGAACTATGGCAACTATGGATCAACGGCCTTCATGGCGCCATGGCGCCCAGGTGGACGCCTTGATCACTGAGAATGTGAGACTCATGAACTGGACCGCTTTCAGGCCGCTGGCATCAAGTGGACGTGGCTTGATGGACCCAGTGGACGTTTTTCTCTGGAAAAATCTGAGGAAAGCAATGTCATACCAGCCATAGTGCCATGGTAGATGTAAAAACGGGGATGGTGGATCCTGTGGCTTGATATGTCTCTACTAACAATGGGGTACACCACCATCCCCGTGCCATGGTTTTTTGGAAGACCCAGGTGGCCGGGCTACAGTGGCAAGTCCATTGGGAGCTATGCCAACAGCCCAGCGATCCATGGGTCCCGGAAGCTTTGCATGATGAACAGGAAATGCGGAAACACAAAAAAGAACGCCATGTATCCAACAGTAAAAGCTACAACTTCCGCTGTAGGAGTTGGGACCTTTTGCTTCGGGTTCCACTCCTCCTGTCGTCGTGGGCTCAGACACTTCCTTACCCTCTGACAATTTCTCGACAATTTAACATAACTATTGAACATTGCCATTTATAGTTGATCTACCCATAAAAAATGGTGATGTTCTCTTGGTTACGTTAGTTTGACAGAGGGTAAGCAGTGTATCTCAGATTGGCCATTTTTGGATATTACCATGGTGTGCATGATGAAAATCCGCAGGTTGCTCCCGCAGATTTTCTCACCTATGGCTACGGCAGTTGCACTGCCAAGATCTCAGGGGATGTTCAAATTCTGGACGAAGACATGGTGCACGATCTCGGGATGGTTTGTGGATGTTGGTGGTTTGATTTGAAAACCATGTTTATGAATGTTTATTATGTTTTGCGTTCACCTCAAATGATATGTCCCAGGGGGCTTGAAACCACCAACCCGAGTTGATTGTGATTGCCTTGGTTACAATATGTGGTGAGGAAGAATAAGAAAGAATCAATCTGACAAATATCTTCATGCTGCAAGCATCCTCAATGTCAAGGCACCAATGCCATTGAACACAACATGTTGAAATTGGCTACAGGTGAACCCACAATGACGAACTATAATTATTATAATTCCCAATTCGTGGTTTATTGTTGTGTGTGTGGACCATCTGAAAAGATGTAAAACTTCTAAACTTCTTTTATTAAGCAGGGGGACGTGGCATACAATCAGGGACCACGTCCAACGAAGCTACCTGATTGTATGGGATACAGAGCCTGATCAGCTCTGCGTACCTGCTTCAATTTTCCACTGTTTATGGCGACCGGCTAAGCCAAGAACCGGCATGTCGGTTTTCAGTTGCATCAGGACCTTCCTCAGAACTTCTGTGTCAACAGGTCTCAATACACTGTGCGGTTTTCGCAATCTGATTTTTGCCAGCTTCGTCAGATGGAACAGTTGTTTTTTGCAAGGACAAAGAAAGAAATCATTTTTATTGGTTTTCCTGCCATGTCATCCAACTCTCGCCTGTCAGACTTTAAGGGATTGTTTGTGCACGACCGATGCACTCCACAACAGTAATTCGATAAGATATTTCTGAGCAAGTGTGTCATTCCTGCTGTATACGTCAAGTTGGCAGGAACCCTTCGGGGAAAGCCTTTCCAGGCTAACAATTGACAGTAAAACGATGTCTGAATTTACACTTTTGAATTAGTAATTCGTTTAAGTAAAGTGAACTGCTGGCCTTTTTTCTGGTCTCACCGGTCGATGTCGATGTGTTGAACTGCTGCCCGCTGAGCCTGGGAACCACCTTTTTTCTGATTGACTATTTGCTGCATAGCCTGAAGCTGCGACAACATCCGTTTTTCACTATTGCCCAAGAGAGTACGGAGCTCGACAAGTTCACCATGACATGTGACCATGTGAAGGCTTCAGGACATTTCTGCAGGTGTGGTGTTTTTTCCTTTTATGGTCGTTGGTGAGGTTCAATTGTGCATGTAATTCATTTGAATACTGACAGCTGTCGATGGGGTTGAAATGAATGCCGAGGGCCTTTGAGCCTTATCACGAATACTGCATGGGTTGTGGATGCATCATGTCAATAACTAGTTCCCCATGGGCCCCTTTTTCATGTGTTCTTGCGTTCTCCTCTCTCCAGGTAGGTTTGGCCCGTCGCGTGCTGAGGTTGTTGTAGGTTTTCGCCGCGGCAGGTTGGTTCAGGCGCTTCCGTCTTCCCCCTCCTCCGCTGGTCTTTGTCCGTTTTCCGTCGGCCTCCGCTTTTCTTTCCCCTTGCCTTTTCAGGGTTGCCCGTTTTGGGCTAGGTTTCATGTGTTGGTGTCTGCTCTTTCCCTCTTCTTTTGCGTTCCCCTCTTTGCGTCCTGGTTAAGTAACTTTCATCTCATTGTCACCTTCACCTCATTCTCATTTCCCTTCTTCTTCATTTTCATCTCATTGTCGGGACCTCAGTTGCCAAAACAGCCTCGCGGCAGCGAGGCGTGTGTGTGGACCATCTGAAAAGATGTAAAACTTCTAAACTTCTTTTATTAAGCAGGGGGACGTGGTATACAATCAGGGACCACGTCCAACGAAGCTACCTGATTGTATGGGATACAGAGCCTGATCAGCTCTGCGTACCTGCTTCAATTTTCCACTGTTTATGGCGACCGGCTAAGCCAAGAACCGGCATGTCGGTTTTCAGTTGCATCAGGACCTTCCTCAGAACTTCTGTGTCAACAGGTCTCAATACACTGTGCGGTTTTCGCAATCTGATTTTTGCCAGTTTCGTCAGATGGAACAGTTGTTTTTTGCAAGGACAAAGAAAGAAATCATCTTTATTGGTTTTCCTGCCATGTCATCCAACTCTCGCCTGTCAGACTTTAAGGGATTGTTTGTGCACGACCGATGCACTCCACAACAGTAATTCGATAAGATATTTCTGAGCAAGTGTGTGTGCGCCTCTACTTGGGAATATGACATATACTACCAGATAACTATAGCTCCCAAAATGTTGGTTATTGGGGATGGTTTAGAATAGTGCAGGTTGGCAATGTCACAAAAACCTATCAATGATTGTTGGCGTTTGTGAATCCCTATGGAAAACATGTGGAAAACATGTGTCCCATCAAATCCCCAAAAGAAGATGGGTAAATCCCATTGCTTGGGGCTGCAGTCACGGTTTTTTTGTGGACATATGTCGCCATAGTTATAGGGCCTATAGGAGGCCCATATCCCAACGATTTCCAACGTATGGAGCTGAATTCACAATGGTTGTATCATGCATCCATTCAAATCACCTCAACTGCTTATTCATATGCTTATCACTCTGGTTAAAGGATATCTAAATCTATATAATCTCATCTCATCTAATCTAATCCATCCTATCCTTTCGTATCCTATCCTATCCCATCCTATGATCCATCGATCCATCTATATCCCTCATATATCCCCACATTATCCCCACATTATCCCCATATTGTTGGCTGGTTGGTGGTGTCAAACATGACTGGATTATTGTCCATTTCATTTTTTGGGGTTGTCATCCTTCCCATTGACGAACTCATATTTTTCAACATGGTTAAAACAGTTACCCTCTGGTAAACTAACATAGCTATGGAAAATCACTATTTGAATAGGTAAATCACCTATAAATGGTCCATTTTCAATAGCTATGTTAGTTTACCATAGGGTAAAACCACCAACCAGTTGGTCATCCCCACCGCACCTTTCCTGGGATCACAAAAACGAGTCGAGGCCTGGGCCAAATTCTTGGCCAACGCCTTGCGCTCCGTGAGAATCTCAGGTCGGACGTTCGGGGTTCGTGTCTGTTTTAATTGGGCTCCTGGCACCAGTAAACCATAGGGAAACTATGGATGTTTATAGTTTTTATTAGTAAAACTATAGGGAAACTGTTTGGGGAAACTATGGATTCGTTGCTTTTTTGTTTAATGTTGATGTATGGCTTTATGAAAATGGCCTATGGTTGGCCATGATGGTGGATGGTTAAAAATCTCCATCCAAGGTGGGCGTCCCAGCCCGGGAGGTGGGCTCACCCTGTTGGAACACGGGGATCTTTGCAGGCGCCGGAGCTGGGGAGCTGACATGGCTAGGGGATGGGGGAAAAACTGAACTCTGGGGAAATTTGATCACGACCTCACTGCGACCGAGCCCTGGAATCATGGTTTTCTAGGAGGAATCATCCCAACATGGCCTTATTTCAGGTTAGTGAATTATTGTAATTTGCCCAGAGACTTGGTGCTTCTGACTTTGCCTTGAATGCGATGTTCATGCTGTGGAGTCGTTCTGGATTTCGGTAAAAATTGGCCCATCTTTGGAGAGTCGGAGCCAGATGTGGGATCCGCAAGATTCCCGGAAGCCTCCTATCGACAAATGTCATGGTATCGATCATATACCCTCTGGTAAATTAACATAGACCCTGGCAGATAGGGGTTGGAAGACTAGTTTCCATTGAAAATTGGTGATTTTCAGGGTCTATGTTTATTTACCAGAGGGTATCATTCAACTAAGCTTGGAGCTGAAGGAGGATGGCGGACCGGTATTTGACGACCAGGCCTAGCCACTCAGAACCCCAATGCATGGAGCTGAGATGAGCTGAGAATCTGGGGAGCGAGCTGGCCATTTTGATGTTTAATTAAGTATATTAAGTGGGGTGGACACAAAATGACTGCAGCATTCCTCTTGACAGTTTTAGTATGTTTTAGTTGCTTTCCGTCCTCTCCGCGGTCGACGAGTGTCTTCGCGTGTGTTTGAACGTCCTTTTTCAATGTTGTTCATCCTCCTTCTGCGGTTCAGAACCTTCCCGAAAACAAGAAGTTGAACATCATTGGGCGATTGAATATGGGTGATGTGCCAGCTTTCAAATGTGGGAATGGGTCAAAAATGGGCACCCCAAAAGAATGACACAGTATATATGATTGCAAAAAGTGCGAAAAAAAATCGGGTTCCTTCACTATTTTGACCTCTGAGCAAATCGATCCAGTATTTCCAGTGGTTTCCCATGATTCAGCACCATTGTTTACCAAGTTTCGCTCTCCAAGAACCAGGAAATATGCCCCACCCACAGCCAGCGGCTTTTCTCATGAGGTCTCACAGTGCTGGCACGGAGGGACGCGTGAAGTCTCTGGCAGCCAGTGCGCGATGTGAGGCTGCGATGTCCAGAGCGGTTTGACCAAAACATGAATGGGATATTTCAAGCTTCAAAACTCATCAAAATCCTACAAAAACCATGTTTACACCAACAAAAAAACGTTGGTCACAGCCATCAAGAGCTAGTGATACGGGCATCACCTATAATTAATTATAATTATACAAGATATGAATAGATATGAGGTTCCAACTGTTCCACAAGATCCCACAGTTTGATTTAGATCAGCTGGACCCCAGCAGGTGGAAATGGAATGAAATGGATGTGCTGCTCCTAAGCCGCAGGTACTTGAACAACCACAACTGGGTGGAATACTGGGACAACGTCCAGCAAACCTGGTCTGGGCTTCAGGGGAATGTCCAGGCTCCTGGGCTGTTTCGTTTGGAAGTGGGCAGCGGTTGAGTGGCACCAGGATGATACACGGACCCCAGATATCCCCAGATCACACACGGTATTGTCGGTCATGGATCAGAAGTAAGCTCGTACACTGCGGATTTCATTGGATCTCATAGGTCCGTAGGTACAGATGTCATCGATGCTGGGAGCGGGAGCCATGTCGAACCATGTCCCAAGGCGCTTCTTGGACGTAGCCACCAGCTCATCGAGTGAGGATACATGGTTTTGTCGGCCAGCCCAGGATGGGAAGGTCCAACTGCACGGGAAGCTGATGGAAGTTGACTGCGGATGACTGCGGCAGTTGTGATGTGAACTTTCTTGATTTCTGGGCCGTCAAAGTCATTTTGCCCGACAAGAATGTCATAGTTTTGTAGTAAATCCATGTAAATCCATGAGAGAGACACCATGTCTAGACAAAGCCAGCTCAGAGGCAAGAAGTACCAGCAAGGCTGCGACTGTAGCAGCAACGCTGGCAGTGCCATGCAGGAGCTATCCACCAGGTTTTTTGGTGGTGTACCAGGGGCTAAAAAATCTAGAAACAAGGCTGGTTGCTAGTACAAGGTGAGGCCCCCCCCAGTGATGTTTGCTGGTTTATAAACCCCGTGAACATCCCGTGGAGGAAGCCAGCTAGATAGGAATGGCAATGAATTGCGCCAATTGTACTTGTACCACGAAAAAACAGCTGGCTTCACCTGAACACGACCTTGTTGTCCCTTTAATTCAGCATTGGGCCACGTGGAACTTCGGCCGCAGACAGGTGGCTCCAGTGTCTAAATGTGTTCTACACGTCTCTAACACTCGGGAACACAATGGAACTCCATGGAATTCCAATATCTTCGAAGGCAGCCAGGTTGCACCCCAAATTGCAAGCTCGGTAAATCGATGTGGCGCCAGGCGCAATCCCAGCGGCTTGCAAACGAAGCCGCATACTGCCCTATCCAATTAGGAAAAGAATAAAAAGTTGAATTCGTTGAAAATAATCTCCATTTGATTCCTGGCAGTTTCTAGACATATCATATCTTTTTTGCCATTCCAGATTCCAAGAAAATGGATAAAGATCCCAACTGACTTTTCGAACATGTTTGGGATGACTCACCCAACGAGAGCCCATTGGAACTTCCGTTCATCTTCCATTCATCTTCCCTTGGCCATCCATGGAGCTGCAGCCAAGCTCACCAAAATCTCCGGCAGCGGCGCCCTTGGGGCCCAGACGGCGGCATATGGTAAGAGTGGACGCGTCAGGGGACTTGGCAGGTGCAGACGAGTGGAAATGGGACCGTCCTGTATCATCCTGTATCGTCGAATGATCATGTGTGTTTGTGTGTGTCAGACCTGCCTTTCTGCACAGAGCTTGCAACAGCTTTGCATGTGGGTCCGTCCAGTGTCGGAGAGGCCATCAGCTTTTTGCTGCGGCTGCGGTAACCTTCGCAGGTGCGGGACACCCCAGTTGATGTGTGGACCCTGTTCGAGGCTAGAAAACGATCCACACCGTGGAATCTGCAGCGTTTCAGAGCAGAGGCATCCCAAAATTTCCAGAAATCCCTGGCATTTCCAGGTGGATCTCATCAGCGGCAAAGAAGGTGCGCACATGACCGCAGGGCTCAGCTTCGAGCCAAGAAGAAGAAGAAGGCCATTGAGCTAGACGGGTCACTTGCCTTCGACCTGTGGCTTCAATGGGGTCTATGACATGAGAGTTTTTTGGGGTGAAAGCATGTGAAAGCTATACCAATGGCCCTGGGGCTATGATGATTTGATTGAGGTGTCCAAGTCTTTCTTTTCCCACTCCTTTTTACAATGATCCTTTTCAAATGGGTTTACGGCTTGACCTGTTTGAAATACGGAAAGAATGCAGCCACGAGTTCCAGATAGTTCCAGGCTTAAAGGAGCGACCTGCAGTTGACCATAGTTGGTCCAGAAATGTAAAGGAGCGACCTACTGATTTCTGCAGAGACAAACTACTTGTGACACTGGCAGAACCGCGAGGCAAGCAGTTTCGCCGCAGAATGGCAATCCACATCGACACACCTTGATTTATCTCCACGGCTTGGGAGGTGCGGTTGCAAAACGGCAAATGGTCGAAGTTCAGTTCAGGGAAAAAAAACATAAAAATGCGACATAAAGATCATAGTGTTATTGTTGATTATCCAATAGCATCTCCTCCTTCACTCTCTTCGTTTTTTAGCTGCCTTCAAGCCTTCAAGATACATCTTGATAATCATCAAGATATATCAAGACGTTTATCAAGATGTACAACAAGGTACAAGGTATATCAAAGCCAACAGCTTTTTTTCAGGTCCAGATTCCGCCCCCAGGCAGCGGTAGCGACTACCTCAACGCGGAGAGCGACCTGCTCTGGCCCTGGCGCTTGGGGACTTCCTACGCGGCCGGGCTGCGAGACTTGGCGTGGGGGTTCATCAGGGCTGGTGAGATGATGAATATGTGACAAATACCCTCTGGTAATTTAACATAGCTATTGAAAATGGTGATTTATAGTGGATTTTCCCATTGAAAATACCTATTAATACCATTTTTAGGGGGATGAACATCCATTTTAACCCAGCTATTTTGATGTGAACTAAAAAGGGGTACTTAAGGTTTTGACACACTGTTGAAAATGTGTTGAAAATGTGTTTATAAATGTTGATTAGGTGTGAATCTTGGTGTCAGGGTTTAAACCTTGACGAGATCATACTTTTGGATACTCTTGGGTGGGTATCGTCAAACCATCTTCAATTGGACCATGTTTGCGCGATGAGAGACGGTCAACCAGATTGGGGGCTCACCCACCCCCCGCCGCCCAGGAGCTGTGTTTCCCACTGCGCCGCTGGTGAAGCAGCCCTGGGGAGAAACCATCGGCTCATGGTGACTACGCTCGATGTAGCAGAGATTCCCCAGCATTTTTGCACAAGATACGGGTGTGGTTGTGTTGGTTAGATGCTTACTTCATGACAGACTACAAGTCATACCGAATCAGACATATGTTTTTTTAAATATTAGAGGTAAAAGTATAAGTGATAAGCCTGATAAATATTGATAAGTGTTCTAAGTGTATGCATATATATATGTGTGTGTGTGTCTTTGTGTGTTACATTTTGTCATAAGTAACGTGTCCAGGATTACGGTTCATAGTTTATCCAAGTTCATCCCTCTTCATCCAGGTTCTCCATGTCGTAGGTCTGCTATTCCTGTCAGTGAATTCTTACAAGGTGGTGCCCCGTAGCCAAGTTGCTCTAGAACTTATATGGTTTCTGAGTATTATGTCTAAAGTTTAAAGGGGTAATAAACCAACTTATACCTGGAGGGCACTGCACCTGCTCAAATTCAGCTCCATGTTCTCAGAGAACTCGAGGTATCAATACCTGGACATCACCAGTAACCAGGTCTCCGACCTAAACGGCCTGGAGCGCACGCGGGAGGCGTTGGATGAGGCCATGCTCAAGTGAAGCTCAGCCCTGTCTTGGCATTGTGGGATCCAGCCCCTTTTGTAGGTGATCCATGAAGAAGTCCTCCGATTGGAGGCAGCGGTTGGATTGACATGATGGGACGGCACATGAGTTTTGCAGCAACATCTGGGTATGGGTAAACATCGCAGATCCTATGACAAAGGATCAAAGCCTGTGCTTCCCAAGCCACTACCCAAAACAAAAAAAGGTCAATGTTGATCCATATCCATATCTGGATCATTTATGATTTATGATCATCTGCAATCTTTTACAAAGCTGAAATAGGGCGGTCCTCCTCTGAGCCAGGCCGGTTGCGTATTTCTGGGCGGCATCTCTCAAGGATGCAACTTTGCGCGACTTGTCGAAACTCAGCACCAAACAATCGGTTCCCTGAGAAAAGAACAAGGAACCACTGAAGCATTCCCAGTTTATAGGCCCATAGTTATCCATAGTATATAACCATAGTATATAACAATGGGATTTATCCATAGTTTATTCCATAGTTTATACATCCATAGTTATCCGTACGTTATCTCTTTATTCGTCCCAATCCAATGGCATGTCCCCAGTTTGGGCAGCTTAACGGGCCTCATGAAAACTTCCCAGGCTGGATGCTTATTTGCGGCCCCTCGGATGCTTCCAGTATCTTCCAGTCACATAACTCTCCCACAATGCCATATGACAAGGCACCAGGCTTTGTTCCAAGATGGGTAAATTTGATCACGACCTCACTGTCCTCCCTCACTGGAATCATGGTTTTTATAGGGGAATCATCCCCAAATGGCCGCAAGATTCAGGTTAGTGAAATATTATAATTTACCCAGAAGATATGGTTTCAGGATGTTTCGGGGACGGAAATCAAATAAATTTGATCATACTTTGGATGATCTTGCCTGGCAAACATCATAAAAGCTGGTTTTTCCGGGTGCACCCCAAAAAGGCAAAAATGGCAGCATATTCTTAGATTGATAGGATTGTCAGGCTACAGTGGGTCAGTTTTTGATTGTTAAATCACATGTTTGCAGATTACATCCAATCCTGTGCTGCTTCAGTCACAAATGGTTGGATGGTTGAATCCCGGTTTGGTCAAAACATGTCAAAACCCTATTGTTAATGCTTGATCCCTGTTTTCAGTGTTAAATCCCTCTGATTCCCCGTTTATTGTTAAATTCCGATTCTTCATGATTGCATCACATGCTTCATAGCAACCCCCCAACCAGATCGAAAAGTGCTTCCAGGATCTTCCAGGATGGTAATCCGATGATGTTGACCACATATTTCCAGGCGTCACACTTTTCTATGACTTGGGGATTGCTGGAAAATGTGTCGCATCCCGCATCCCCCAAGTCATGATGGTTTGACCCACAGCTCAGTTCGCCCCACAACTTGGGTGGCTTCGTGGGGAGTGTGGGCTTCGTGCCGGGTGATGCCTGGGGCTTTCGCGGAGCAGATGAACATCTGAGGCCGGAAGTGGAAACCCTTCGGCTTTGGGTAGATTGAGGAAGCAACCACAACCATGTATATGAATGTATATGATAACCATATTTCATGGGCACATATGTAGAATTTAAGCAACAAAAACGGGGATTTAAGACTCAAAGCGTTTGATTTATTTACACTGTCTAAATAAAAAAAATGGAACTCGAAAATTGCCATATCCCATAGCAAAATCAGCTTTGGAACTCCGTTTGTCAGGTTCCAGAAAATTGGTTCGGTTATGATTGAACCATCGTTGCCAGATGTTTTTGTCGTTGATCCCCGGAGTAGGATGCAAATTTGCACCCGAATCACCAGAAATTTGGATGATCTTAACATGGTTCAACCATAGTGCCTTGTAGATCAACCCCAACCCAGTAATGGATGGCTATGTCCCATCACAGCCTCAACGGATTGACTTGTCTCTCTTCTTTGCATGACCTTTGCGGATGGTTCCATGGTGGCTGATGGATCCCCAAAAATCATCAAAAATCATCAAACATCAGCCCGATCCTGGTGGATGTGTTACTTGAATACTGTGAGAATCTTGAAGGTGAAGAAAGAATGGTACGGTAAAAAGAAAACGCTTTCCTGCAACATTGTAACATGCCCGCCGAATTTGTTGGCCAGCTTTTGGAACTGGTCATTGGCTCGGCGCAGGAAGTTGCAGAGCAGGAGAAGAAAGGCCGGGCGCCGAAGGGTGGGACTGGCCGGTCAGCCACAACTAGGTGCCAAATGTTCACAAAAGATACAAAAGATATCACAAGTGCACAAGTTTTTTGAACGTGCGGCCCCAAGATATGTTTGGAACATTTTGGAACATGTTGGAACCATGTTCAAAAATTGAGATACAGGAACCATCCTGTGCAGTGGGGATGTTGGCAGGCAGCACGGCCCGTGTGGCTTCAAGCTGCTGAAGAAGATTCTGAAGTCCCTTTCGAGTTGGCACCATGGCTGGGGACTGGTGTTATATAGCTCAATGCGTCAGTTGTGTACCAAAAAGATGTCAGGCAACGTGCTTCTGGGGGTGAACATTGTCCAATATCGTCTCATAAATCAAGATTCCACCAATGATTGGTCGGCAACCCCTATGAACCAAGGATTTCCATCCCTCATTCATAATGATACTGCCAGTTAGACGTAGCTGACATGATACTGCCAATCATCGATACACAAGCACGATAATGTAGCGCGCAGCGTAGCGCAGCACAACCAACAACAATTCCACTACGAAGACAGCCAGCAAAAATTTGGTATTGGAATGATTGGAAAACGATTGGAATGATTGGGAAACGACTGGAATGATTGCAGATACGGTTGTTATATACCAAGTCAGAAGGATCAGAAAATATGATAGATATTCACATGTTACATCATTTTACTGCTCACAGCTTGCCGACTGTATGTTTGAATAAATAGTTGCCAAGTTTGTCGGAGGCATTGGAACGATGCACTTAGGACATGATCCGAGCTGATTGTCATATTCTGAAAACGGGGTGAAACTACACAAAATAGGGGCTGCCCCAAGTCATTATAGTTCTTCGTGCCATTATAAATTATGGGTTATCAGATGGGTGTGTTTTGATCTTGTTTGAAGACCATTTAAGGTGAGGCACAGTCCGATTCGGATTCCACAGCTCGGAAAGAAAATTTGGTATGGTTCAAAATAGTTCAAAAGACACCCACCAAAGCCTACATAATGTTGGTAGAACAATAATAAACCATAAATAGGTGGTGTAAACCATTCCCAAATGGGTGGTTTATTATTGTTTTACCCCCATTAGATGGTGTCATTCCCAGAAAAAAAAACTGCCTAGAAAGCTCAGGTTAAGTCATCGCTGGAACGAATTGATCACTGGCCTGGCTTTCGCTTGGAGAGGCTACAAGCCTTGGGGCATGACATCGGACAGCGCGAAGCCACTTTGCTGGGGGACTTCTTAAAGGCCCATGCTGAGGACAGAACTTTGAAGCTTTTGGTGATTTTGGTGCGTGGTAATCAGCAACTGTGAAGGTCCCAGCCATTCCAAAGAATGCCATCCAGCTACTGGGAAAATCCTGATGCATTGAGACTAATTGAGCGGGTTGGCGTCACATTGTCCACTCTGAGATGGTAGTTCTAACCATCAACCAGGGATTGGGGCGTTGACCATGGGGCAGTTCTTGCTACACAGGGGTCCACAACAATAAATGAAGGTGTCTGTTTCTCTCCTCAAGGGGTTCATAGATAGTCGACTCATGATTTCCAGCTTTCCGGATGGACAAGAATCTGGTGGTTGCAAGTTTCAGGATGCCTTCTTTGAGGTTGACTTGCCAGATGACGATCTGGACGACCTCGAACTAGAAGTGGAGTTAGACATAGGCCCATCCATTCCTGGCATCAACGCCTGAGTCGAGTGGCAAAGCAGGCGGTGCCCCGAAGAGAATTTATGATGATCACGAGATAGCCAAAGTGAACACCAGCTATTTGATGCTATTTGATGCTATTTGTGAACCGACTTAGGTATCGTTTAGGTGGGCACCGCCTTGTTCGTCTTGCAAACCCAGGCCAAAGGCAGCCAGTTGTGATCCAATCCCCCAATAGGGCCAATAGCTCCGAATAGCCCCAATAGGGCCAACAAGGGACCCCAAAGTGATCCAAAATGATCCAAAATGATAGATCCAATACTGAACTAGGGTGTACAGTGATGTACAGGGTAAATGTTCGATTTGGTGTCGAATATATGAGGGGAGAGGGATTTGTTTCTAGCTGGTTGAGCAAAAGTCTCAATCCAGGAAAGATTGATTTACATTTGAAGTTTCAAAAACAGCCCGAGCTGCCCTGCACGTTCCGAGATAGCCTTGACAAGTCGCTTCATCATTTCTCACGAATCGCTGGGTTTATTTAGGGGAAAACTTGCAGGAAACATCAGGAAACTGTCCTTTTACCAGCTAAATCGGGGGCGTTTCTGGGAGAATTTGGCGCAACATTCTGTGCAGGACCATGACATTCTGGCACCGACTTGGAGTGTTGGATACCTGGTATACCTAGACCCAGCCATTGACAGTGCACCAGAGGTGGCCCCACAGCAGAAACACATAGCAATCCCAAGGGATCCCGTTGTGTTTCCAGTGCCTTGCGCTTGGTTGATGGCCTGATCTGCCAAAACCATTGGGCTAAGAGAGCTATTGGGTGCAGCTCGTTGTGACTGGGCTTACGACATTTGATATTGGGAATAAAAGTGAAGAATCAAACATGATAATTATGATGATACTATATATATAATTATTACGATAATCCTGATGATATGGTTTTTCATAGTCATGATAATAATATTGTACAATATTGTACATTATTTGCTTGTCGCGTATTACCATGTATAATCATAATATTATATGGTACTGATGTGATAATTATGTGCATGCTGTTATTTAGGAATGCCATGGTTTAGCATGGCACCTTAGCTTCGCCATATCTTCAGATCTCAGGTATCTGGTGATGAATCGATCCATGGAGGTCCCATCGTGGTGACTCAGTTGCAATGGTGAGCTGCAGGCTACGGTTTTCTGGCGAAATTCTGAAAGCTGAATTCGGAAAACTATGGAAAACTATGTAACCACCAAGAATTGATGAAGATCAGACACTGTTTTTCCTGAAATGAAACTGGTGTTCCTGAAATATGGCCATGACATCCCAAAAAATCTGTTCACAGCGACCTCAGGATGTTGGGAGCAGCCTTCGACTAAGTCCTTGGTCTTAGCTCTGGGAACGCTGGGTCGCTGGTCAACCTCCAAGGGTCGAAAAGTTGGAAAGCTGGAAGTTGAGGGGGAAACATCATCCTTACCATCCTGGAAATCTTTTTGGATCTTTTTGGGGGACGCTATAAGCCAGTTCATAGGATTTCATGGGGCTATTTCTGATGCAAGCAGAATAGCCGCTGAGGCACTGGAGAGGCTGTCTCTCCACTGGTCTGGTTCGGAAGCCAAGAGGATCGTCCAGTTCACCTGGGATTTTGCTTCAGCTGGCCATGGTTGTTTGGTTGGCCATGGTTGGCCTCCATTTTGAAGGCTCGAAAAAGTGATTTTTTTGCGGAAATGGATGAAGGAGGGTTTGCTAAGGTCAACCTGCCTGATGCCACTCAATCCTAAGTCTGCCATTGATTTGAACCAGAGCCTACCTAACTCAGGGGCGATGTTTGACCTATTGAAGTTTGTGCAGATGGTCTTGGAATGTCTTGGAGTGAGTGGTTTGACATTACATGCACTGTGCCTTTCTGATTTTGGATCAGTACAGAAACTCCAATAGCCCGCGGTGCACGTGGGAGGGCAGGGAAGATACTTGGCTGCAGGGTGTGACCACTTCGGAGAAGGCATGGGCCCTTCAGCCCTGCACTACAAATCCAAACGATTCAGCACTGTGAGAACTGGGGCACTCCCTAAATCCCCAATCATGCCTTCATTTAAAACCTTGAAGACCCCAACACGTCAAAAATGAGCCCTTTCATGAAGACCTCATGTCAGGTCGGGTCAACTCCCTCTGGGATGTGCCACAGCGTTAGCCAAAGGGTTTGTAACATGTTGTTGTAACCCATCAAATCTGATTCTTCCATTATTATCCCATAATTATCAAGTCTTCTCCCATTATCCATTGTCCAATCATTATAGGTACCATAACTGCTTGGTGGTTTCAAACATTTTTTCCATAATACATGGGATCATCCTTCCCATTGACTTTCATATTTTTAAACATGTTAAAACCACCAGCCAGATTTTAATAACTAACAACATACTGACTCCGTCCAAAGCCATGACTCATCACGGGAAAAATCCCATGATGGGTCGAGGCGATGTCGGCGTTGTTCGACTTCCAGGGATTGTTGGTGGTGGTTCTTCTCAGCATTTGCACCTGCTCCTACTTGAGGTCCGGGATGTTTTCAGGAATCATTTTACGGAATGGGGAACTGAGAACTGGAATAGGATGGGACAGGCACTATATTGAGTGACCCTGCAAGTTGAAATTCACGAGGTTGCATTTTTTTTGGGTTGGAGGATGGTTTAGAGTAGAAATTTCAATGCCTACTTATATTAATATTGTTGAAGGAGTGTTGACAGCAAGTTTTAGAAGTGTGGAGACTCATGTGGGGAATTCTGCTCAGCATCTTTGCGCCTCGAACCTGCAGGCAGCAAATATCATGCAGTTTGTCACTTGCGTTCCTTCTGTCATAACAGTTTCACATGAAATCGTGTCGACAAAGCTGTGACCACACAGGACCGAAGGCCCCAGCAATCCCCTGTATAGTGATGACTAATGGTCATGATCATTAAAGGTAAAAATTGTGTCTCTTTGGTGATTATTGCAGGTTGGCATTTTTTGCAGAACATAACAGTAACAACAATGCCATGCACTGAAAAATGGCAAGTTGTCCAGGTCCATAGTGCAACAGCAGCTGTTGAACAGCTGTTTCTTTTCTATCTGCAGGGGGGATCAAGCAATGAGGTATCCCTGCTTGGATCGGGATCACAAATCCATGGAAAGCCATGAAGCTTCCAACAGCTGCGAAATCACAGGCCACGCTTCGGGAACTTCCTACAGCCAAAGGCTGGACAAGGATTTGGGTCTTGGAAAAAGCTCATGGGGTGATAACATTAACGACCAACAAGAATGGGAAGATGCATGAATATGCCATCATTATATAATTGTGTATCATTACTGGGCTGCGCACAAATTGTTGTTTTTTTGGTTTTTCGGCACTCACTTGTTTGGAATTTATGAACTTTGGATCAGTGACAGTGGGTAAGCATGGAATCCGCATAGCATTTGTGGCCTTCATATTAAGCATGTTTCATCAAACATCGAACTTCTCCGAACTGCGCTCTCGAGGCTCCAGGCTTCTTGGGAATGTTTGGACGCTTTGCGGTGATCGGAGATCGGCTGAGCCCTTTCGTGAGTTGTGCCTGTATGATAATGGCGTTGCTTGGCTGGAAGTTGGAGTAGCAATGGTCCTGCAAAATTGGTATGTTGAGTTAGTTTGTATTCAAGATGATATATCCATTTGCGGCATGATTGGGGCAAATGTCCAAACGGAACAAGGGACCCGGATATCTGAAATTGTTTATTCCGATGAGCTGTTTTCCATGCTGTATGCTATATATTGCCTCGTGACATCTTTGTTCAGTCATACACCTTGAAATAGTTCTTTTGTCAAGGCTCTCCTCTTCAAAATGAAACTGACTCCTCCATTTCTGGACACTGTTTTCATAATCATTATGATATATATATATATATCATGTATGTATATATATATATATAATTTTGTATAAATATATAAACTCATAATATCATAATATATATATATATATCATGATGATGATGATAATAATAATGCGAACGTGTCTGCCATGTGTTGAACTCGGTTTTCGTGCCTCACCAAGGATATCGACTCTTTTTGTGAGATGACGAGCGGCTCCAGCGCCAGCTCCGGCGGAAAGATCAGTGGCCGCGTGCCCCGCGACAAGAGAACAGCCCAAAGAGAAGCAGATGCGAAAAAGTGCCGAGGGTGGACTGGTGACTGCCTATTGACCTCAAATTGTGCTATAGTTTTAGTTTATAATATATTATTTATATATATATATATATGTGTGTGTGTGTGATGTATATCTATCTATCTATCTATCTATCTATCTATCTATCTATCTATCTATCTCTCTCTCTCTCTCTCTGTGCGTGTGTTTATTTGCTTTGGGACCTGGATAGATCTGGATAGTACGGATGTCGATATTTCTTCGTCGTAAATTGCGAACCATATAGGCAGCCTTCAACGGCCAGTGAGGTGCATGTCAGGGACGGGAGATCAACCATATGTAGCGGCACTGGAGAGATTTTTTTCAGGGGGATGACCATCCATTGAAGCCAGTTTTCTAATGTTCACCGAGGTACCAGGCGAAGTAGACCCATGGCTAGACATTCCCGCGCCAAGGTCGCCACATCTCACATCGCCCCTGGGCTTACCCTTGAAAGATGTGGGTTTGCGCGCACGGATGCCTAGCCACGGAAGAGGCCCTGGGGAGTTCCCGTGGTACTCAACTGGTGCCCAGTCGCTCATGGGGATGCACTAGGAGTACATAACCGTTATGCGCTGTTTATTGGCTCAGAACATGGAAGTTTGAAGCGGGAAATTCAGGAAACCTGCCAACCTAGTAAGACCATGTAGGACCATCGTTCGACGATATATTTGCGATTCATATCCCCTTGAAGTCCGGCACCGAGAAACGGCCATCATCAAAACCCAGGATTTGCGGATCAAGATTGTTCTCAAATCAAAATAATCAAAGTTGCCCATAGGCTCCATTTCAAGCTTCTTCGTTCCAATGGCAGCTGACAGCTCAATGCTGTCCGACCAGCCCTTGACTACACAAGGGCGTGCTACATATGATGTGCAGCGGTACAGTCAGCCACTGCGCTGCAAAGGGAATGGGGATGGCCATCCCCACTTTCCAGGGTGCATGGCGCATGGAAGTTCTATGAATTTCTTCATATTCTTAGGAACCTTCAACAATTCTACTCAGATGTGCATCCCAGTTATATAGTAGGTGGTTTATAACCTAAGACATAGCCTATAGACCATCTTTGCGAATTTATAGGACTGGATTAGACTGGATTGTACCATGTTAACCATTCACGATTCCTGGGATGCACCCCCAACTAGCATATTTCAGCTGGACTTGGTGGCACTTGGCTGTCAACTTAGGCTCTACCGATCACTGCAGGCCGAATTTCGACCCAAGTGTCTCTCCCACCTACGAGCCTCGGCAGATGGAGGAAGGCTAGGCAAACCAAGTGGTAAAGAGCACTTTTCAAAGTTTGGCTTAGTCAAGAATAGGCTAATACCCCAAATTTGCGGCAACCTCAAGAAGGAAAACGATGTTCTGAACCAATGGAGATAGATGGATCTAGGGTGCATTTTTTTAAACACCCGGTTGTTGCTGGTTTGATGGGGGATGGTGGTGGTAGACTTGCCATGAAAGGATGCAGCAAGATGGAGCCAAGAATCTCGAGGAAAAAGATGCTGAGTATCGCCATCCAGATCCAGATGTGTTCCAAATGAAGTTCGCCAGTCGTATGAGTTGCATATGGGTTTGTCTGAAAATATTTGAACATGTGGCATAAAATATCATAAAATGCTCTGTTGTGGTCATGTTATGTCATTTTATGGGATAATGATGATAATGATAATGGCAATCATCATCAATCCGTTTGGACTTCCAGGCGCCCTATATTTTCAGACATCCCGAAGGCGAGCTGAGAAAGGGATCAACTTCAGGTTACGACAGCGTGGATATCAGCTTCACCAATGCTGGCTCCTACATGCGCTCTGAGAGGAAGGGAAATTTGGCTGCATGCAAGGTTTGAGACATGTGGGCCACTGATGAAAGATGGATAAAGATGGCATGAGTCGTGAGATTCAAACTTGGCACCTGGAAACGTCTGATGTTCGTGACCTGATGACGCTGCATGAGGTAGGCATGTGGAGCCACTGTCCAAGATTTTCGCTTCCTCGAAGATGCTTCCCAGCAAGGCCATCTCGCAGCTCAAAGCTGATACTCCAAACATCTCCAAACCGTTGCTCTTGGCCAAAGATTGTTTTGTGCTGGTTATGGCCCATCGGGAGACTGTCTCAGATAAATTGGATAAAATGCAAGTTCAAACTCAATTCTCCGGTAAAGCATGCCACGAGATTGATTTTGCCTGAGTTGTTGCGCATAAGGTGGCAGACACGGCAACTTAAATAGATGAATGATGATGAATGCGATATCGAAACGACGTCCAGGGTTACACGCTACCAGTTCACCTTGTTGTTTGGGATGGAGTGGCCTATTCAGGCGACCTTGCCAGACGCTATGATGCGTGCAAGGTATCCAATCGAAGTCTCTTGGTGTCCGCTGGGAGGAGCTTTGCAAAGACCAAGCTATGGAGCCACAGTAGAAACAGATGCAACTGCTGTTCCCTGACCTTACCGGTTCTGGGTCTGAGTTTGATCGACCGTGTGGTTGAAAAACTTCACCGCTGCTTCTGCATATTTTATATATATTGGAGAAGTCCAAGGGTTTTCCGGCAATCCAAACCCCTCCAAGAAAAGTAATGACATTGCCTAACAAAAAACATTCAGATGGATCAAGGCGTATTGCACCATATTTTGACATATATTTTGACATAGATTTACATATATTTAAGGGGGAATCAACATTTATCTACCTACTTTGGAGGGTTCCAGGGTGCCCTCCTATCACAGCCATGGCATAGCTTTGAGAAACGAGGCAGTGGAGAAAAGCGAAACGTCATCACGGCGTTCAAGAAGGTGACAAGTCATCACAGATCATCACAGGTCGTCATTTGTTGAAGAGGAGGAGGAAGATAAACACACATCCAGGAAAAGCGGCTTCGAATATCTTCCAGGACGCAGTAACTGGTTTAACTGGTTCAATCTGGCTTCATTTGATCTTATCTGTCTAATATGGTTTCATCTTAAATTTAGGCAGTGAATTCGCAGGAAAATGTCGGGGGTTCACATGTGCTGGAGCACTTCCCCAGCGGCAGGTCCTCTGGCAGCTCGCAGCGCTTAGGGATGCAGGCGCGACAAATGCTAGGTCTGAGTTAAGGTGTGTATATCATGTACATAATATATATATATACTAGGATATGTGGATATATGGAGATATAGAGATATGATCTTCGATGTATGTGTGCATACATCTTTGCATATTATATTTATATATATATATGCTATACAGTGCATTGATTCAGTGTGATCCTTTGTTTGTGTGTGTGTATTTTAAGTGAATGAATGCCATGTAAGTGTATTTACATTTGCATATGTGTATAAAATCATATATGTGATCATATACATATATTCATATGTATCTGTATATATATATATGTGGTACCCAAAAAATCTGTGTGTGTGTGTGTTTGTTATTACACTACACTTGCTGTTGGCAGTGCCTCGCAGGTAGATCTCCGCTGGCCTTGTGCCGCCACCTTCGAACGACCAAAGAGTTGCCGGGAGCCGAGCCAATGCTGAGGGAATAGGTTTTGCATGCTGGGGTTTAACGGGTTTAAGCATCAAACATAGGCATTTAACCATCAAAAATATGGGTTTAACCATCAAAAATAGGGATTAAACATGATTGACCTTGGGGAGTGACATAGCTGTGGAAAATCCTGGAAAATTCCCGTTGGAAAATGATCTACAGTGGCTTCTCCACATCGATGTTAGTTTACCCAAAAAAAGGGTAAGATAGTTCAACCGGCCAAGATAAGGTTGCGGGTGCCACCGACGAAAAGCTAAGATAACACCAGCTATTCTCACCTAGCCAAGTCGCCGTTCCGGCATAGTTGTCTTACGCAACAGCTGCTGAATTCGGCAGAGCGTTGACTTCACAAAATGGTGCGTGATGTATTGAGATGTTTGATGGCTGTTTGGCTGTTTGCTACATTGCCCGTTCCACCCGCAAAAGGGGCCTGCACCCCACCTAAACACAAATCGGAGGTTAATCTCAGTTTCCAGAAATACCCACAGCCCTAGAATCCTAGAATTATTCATTCATTAAGTCCTCTTTGTTCAGCATCAAATCCTTATTCTTGGCTAGCAAATGCGCCTAAAATTGCTTAAACCATATGTGATTTCCCTTTTTTGATCCTTTTCATCAATGGATGGCTCAACCACAATATCCACAGCATATCCACACCAGATCCCCTCGCGCCACCATAGGCACACCTTTGGCCTCAGGTCGTAGCTTGGGTGCTCGGAAGCACAAGACCACAAGACCTTGGCGATGGCTTTGGGGGCTGCTGCCATGAAGCGCCTCGATCATCCCAGCATGTTGAAAAGCCTGGGAATCAATGGAATATTACCCTCTGGTAGTTGAACATAGCTATGGAAAATCACCATCTTTAATAGGTAAATCAACGAACTCAATGGGCGATTTTCAATAGCAAACTGTTAAATTACCAGAGGGTAATGGGAGATGAATGGGGGATGAATGGGATATTGGATACACTGATATACCATGATATACCCTCTGGTAATTGTTGTTTGTTGGCGTGCTCCAAGTGAGTGTCCCTGGTGACCTAGTGATTATCCCAAGACACTAGGTCGCTAGGGCCACTCACTTGGAGCATCCCGCCCATGTATGTGTCATTTTAGGGTTTGAAATGTCACTTTTTTTCATTAAAATTGTCATCCCACTAAATAGGATCCAGAATTTTGAGGCCATGGCCCGTGCCCACCTTTGGCAGGAGCTGGTTTGCTCAAGCTCACCAGCTGGTGATTCGTAGGTGGTACCTCTAATGTGTTTTGGGGATCCCGAATTGCACATGTCCCAAGCAACAGGTGGTTCAACCACCAGATGATCTTGACGGAATCTCCCCAGGTTCCATGCGTTTCTTGCTCCATCCCCAGTGATATATTCACTGGACTGGTGTTAAGGAAGTTTAGAGGAATCCTCCCTTAGTAAGCTGGGCAAGAGAATGCACTCCATGAAAATTGTGACCTGGCTATGGACAATGACCCATAGAGGTTTTGCCTATTACACATGGTGATGTTTCATGGCTATATTCAACTACCAGAAGGACATCCATTGTTCCTACCTGGAGAGGTGCCCCAGCTCGCAAGAGATCGGCTTACACGAGCCCATGCCTCGCTCCTCGTCAGGAGCCGCCAAGATGAGGATGGAATAACTTGGGGAATAACCATCCATCAACCAGCGATTTTAGGGTACCTAAGGTACCAGGGTTTTGACTCATAGACATATACCAACCGACCCACAAGAACTGGCATCATGAGCATTTCTGCCATCTATTGTTTGGGGAAAATCCGGGGATAGCGTTTGAGCCGTTCCCATCATATGACCCCTATAGATTGAGCAGATGCTAATACTAAAACCGGTTCGTTTGGACATGAGTCAACTTGTAGATATATGATATTGTGAATTGTTGCGGGGAGACAGGCATCCAGGGCTTATCATGGGGGATCTCATGTTATCTTAATTTTGGATATCAATTGTCATGATTCAGCCAGCTGTAACAGCTGGTTTTCATTCTGTGTCAAGGGAGCACACATGCCTTTTTGGACCCAGTCAACGGCCGAGGCATTCGAAAGGGCGATGAATTGGGTCCGCATCACAATCCTTTCTTGCAACCCGGACTCACAGGTCGATGGGGATGTGTCAATACCCATCATGCGGATTGTTCAATACTGTACTTCTGGGACATTGTGGGGCCTTCAGAATGGATACTGATTAACATCCATTTTCCGGCTATGCATTGCGAACATCGAGATGCCAGGGTTTTTACCAGCGATACCCACTGTCGGGTTCTTGAAGCCGTTTCTCGTTGATGTCGTTGGTTATCTCACTTGACTCACAGTTGACGCTGGTGAAGGATGCCCACCTTATTTTCGGAGTTGTTTTTTTTGCCCATCCCCTGCCAAATGTTACTTGTAGACACAGCAAATACCCATTATATATATATACATACCTCCATAGAATTTGCTGAAAGCATTTTCCACCCTGCACTTGCCGGTCCAAATTATTGGATTGCTTCAGATCCTAAAAATGACTACTGTGGGAAATCCAATCCCAAGCCATCGCCAATTTCACCAGAAATGGCTGGGTTTGCCCCCTCCCAAATTAGATGTTGATCGTGTACAACCCATTTCTCCCCCATCTATGGTAGAACCTCCGCAGTATCCATAGAATCCCCAGTTTTTGGAGTTGAATCCTTGGATTCCCCTTGTCCCACTGGTTTGTGGAGAGTTCACCCTATTAAACAACCAATAGGTAAAGGATAATAAGGACATACCAAAGTGACCCCTTCTTTTCCTAAAAGGATAATCTTGTCAATGGCCATTTCAGGAACCTAAATTGGAGGTACCTACCATATATAAGGAATATCCCCCCAAAATATGGCCAGAAATATGGTACAGTACCTCCATTTTAGGATCCTGAAATTCCCATTGATCTTGGTTGAATCAATCGGTATCTTGGTTGAATCCCTTGTTTCAACCTCTAAAACTCTCCAGGCCCACCAAAGATCCTGAAGCCAGGGCCCCCTTGACCGATCCGCCCAGGACTCGCTTCTTGGACCGTCAGCCTGGCGGCAGCTTCTTCGCTGGATCTGGCTTGTCAGCTGGAAAGGTGACAGCACCTGGGCTGAGCGGCGGATTTTGATGGAGTTTTGATGACTTGTTTGGGGATTTTGGGGGGGAAGATCCAGATGTGTTCTGATGTTGGTCGATTTCTTGGGGATTGTTTGGCGATTTTTTGGGTTCTCTTACTTGAAGATCCAGTAATTTTGGATTCTTGCGGCGTGTTGGTTGATTTAGTGGTGATGCTGGGCAGCTCAGTGATTTTGATTTGACAGGGCAAGCCTTTGATGATCACGGAATTATGTTTTGTTTGATTTCTGATTCACCTTCAAAACATCCTATCTAGCTTTGGATGAATGATTTGGCCACTTTGCGGATCAAGCCCCAAAAATGCCCAAAAAATATTAGTTTTATTAAACTGTTTTAGCTTTCACAGTTTGATTTTTTATGGTTGTGGTTGGATTCTTTACTTCCCTTTGAGGCAAAGCAGCAGTGAATAATACACTCACGTTAGGTGTGCCTTGCTGACCTGCGAGACACATGGTGGGATCGGGCGAATCAGCTTAAAATGTGGGTTGTTATCTGAGTACCAGCAGGCAGCATGACTGCAGGGTCTTGTTTCACACCCGGCCAGATGACCAGACCCAAATTGGGGTTCTTTGGCTCTTTGCTGGGTTTTGACTTATTGTCCAATATTTGCACAAATCCACTGAGTGGTTTCCTTCAGAATGGTTTCTAGCAATCAGAACAGAATTGACCCCTTTTCGGGGGCCAACGGTGTAATTTGGTAAATGAAGATTAATGGAGCATGATTTATGACATTGGGTTTGCCACATTAAAATACCCCTTGTAAATCTGCCCTGTGAATGGGCAATATCTATGTTTAAGCGGTAGGTTCTTCAAAACACCATCCACAATGAGTCCACACATTAGGGGTGTCCATTCAGGTCTGTTTGCCAGAGGGTTTCCTGCCTCAAGGGGCTAGAGATGAGATTCATTCTCATACGCAGCATTGACTTGGTCTGGTGAAATCTCGATGAATATTCAGAAAAAATGTGGAAAGACGAATAGCTCATGGACATTGACACCCAGATGACATTAAGGCGACCTTATCAACCAAGCCCAACCGCTGAAGCAAAAGTGCCTAATGCCCAGGGTTGTTTCACAACCTCAACTGCGAACTCACCAATCGATGTATCAGTGGACAAAGCGGACCTCAGTCCAAAACAGTTTAATTCGCGGATTTTTTTTACAATCGGAGAGTAAACCTTGGCAGATGGGTTTGTATGAATAATTTTCGCAAGTCTGAAGAAGGGGAAAATACAAGAAAGGGTGCTAGGGCCCTGCTAGGGAATGGGGGAATGATCCATAAGAACTGTAAAATACATTAAAATTAGAATGCTATAAATCATCATCCCATTCCCATCCTTTCCCATCCATTCCCCACGTTTAGCACCAGCTCAGGCTCTTGTGCCTGGGAGTCTTGCTGGATGATGCTTCCGTGGAGAACTAGCGACTCTAGTGACTGAAGTGAATCACTACGCTAAGATATGGAAAACCCATAAAGACTCATGAAAACTCCGGAGTTCTCTAGGAAATGAAAGGAAATGATACATATATATATATATATGTATTTATTTATTTATATTCATGCTGGATGGTCATATCTACTCTGATTCGCTGGAGGGTGCAGGAAAAGCCAGTTGTGGATCTGACACCACCCGACTAGGTTGGCAGCAGCTGGATCTCACCTAAAGTGATGAATGGCAGACACAGACTAAGACTAAGATGGTATTCCCCCCTGGTTAGCATCGAAGTTAGGGGAGGTTATGAATCCGATTTTGATGGTATCCAAATGTATCCAGTGTGCTTGTCAGCTGCATTATGAGCACTAGACAGCTGGTCCCTGGCGAATGTCAGGGCACTTGCTGCAGAGATGACTCAGAGATCATCCTCGCGGATCATACTGCCGAATGCTACTGATATACTTTTGGCATACCCTCTGGTAAACGTTTACATAACTATGGAAAATCACCATTTTTAATGGGAAAATCCACTATAAATGGCCATTTTCAATTGCTATGTTAGTTCACCAGAGGGTAAACATAAACAGTCATGAGTCATGAGTCATGACTCCAAAAACACGAATTGCTTCGTATGATTCGTCATAGGGCTGGATGACCTCAGGGTGAGCTGAATCTGATTTCACCTTAGCATCCCGCTTAGCCCTGCTGTGGAACAGTGCGGATGTGAGTGCTGCGGTCGAGTCTTGATGGCTCCAAACTGGTCCTATGTTCAAATTCTGAAAATTGCGTACAACTCTAATCCATTGATCTATCCTTATCGACAATTTTCATGGGGCCAGGACTGGAAGGGTTCCTACCCGATTCCCAGACAGCACTGAGGTCGTGAATCGTACGGACTTTTATCGCTGCCATGGAAGGACATTGAGCGCACGAGCCTCAAAAGTGTCGTCGTGTTCAGGAAACGGCATGTACGAATCCTCATTCAAGCCCTTGAGGGTCCACATACTCATCAATTGATTCCAACACGGAAAACCCAAAGGTGTGCTTCTCCAGGTTTACTGAGAAAGTTGTGGAGTTCTTGGTGTTGTTTAAAGTCATGCAGCCAATGCTCAAGTCAGCCAGCAAAGCAGGCATGCCATGTCTCAAAAGCACAGTAAGATCAAGCACACTAAGGACATTTACTTCCAAAACATTTTTCGAACTACCTCATTTGCATACGTCCATCCAAAGCATATCTAGAGAGGTCAACAGATGTTCTTTATGGTTGTGCGCCTTCTGTTTTAGAGAACGCGAGTGTGGAAAACCATGGGGAAACCATCCACCAAACTGAGGTCTGAGGAGGTCCTTCCAGGGACACGAGCAGAGGATCATGTCCAAAAAGTGCTTTTTTTTTGGCCACGGATTTTGGGGCTGGAGATATGGTAGCAGGATGTGACAGGAACTTCAGGATACTTTGTTTTCTGTGGTTTGTTTTGCCAGATTTGCTAGCTGCAACTGGGACCATGACCAGATCAACTATGAACTGGAAGCTAGTTGCTCCGCATGGACGTCACAGCCATAGCATGACCATTTGATCACTGTGATCGCAGCTGTGTTTACAAGCTTGGCTTAGCGCAACAAAGCATTCAGAAAGAACAACCAGCACTTGAAATGGACTGCAGACCACAAAGCACTACGTAGGCGGAATTTCTTCCTCTATGGCCTGGTAGAGTTTCTGAAGACTGAAGCTCATCTTCATTTAGGGCCAAGAACGTTGACCAGCAGAAACGAAACCAAAATCTTGTGGGCAGGAGTCGAGCCGTGCTCAATCCCGAGATGAGTCCTGCTCTACCAAGCACCATAGTGTCTACATATTGGTACTGGCTGGCGGCTTTATTGTTCATTCATGTTGGTCATTTATATCCTTTCCCATTTAGGGCGATCCTAAAAATGGATGGTTTTGGGGTCCCACATTTTACGACGCCACTAGGTCCTGACAAAAAGTGGGTTGAAGCCACTCGGGTTTCAGGGCCATGAATTGATATGCCCATGGGCGGCCAAGATTGGGCAGATGGACTTAGCCCGGCATCCCATTGGTGTGGCACTTGTTGGTATGCTACTTACCCTTCGGTAGTCAAACATGGTGAACTTAGAAATCCCCTGTAAATGGGCATTTAATTTGATGGAAGAAAACATCTCTAAATGGTGGATTTTCCATTGCCATGTATGATTACCAGAGGGTAGATCTATTCCCCTTGGGCAAACTAACATTCATGCAGCATGGCGTGCTGGAACTGGATGGTTTCCAGAGTGATCTGAAGGATGTCCAGCTAAGATTCCATTTGGGATCCAAGTTGATCCGAGACAAGCCTCTTGCTGATGAACACCAAACCTTGGCACTGAATGTCAATACAGATCAACCTTGGCATCAAAAGGGGCAAAGCAGATTAGACGCTGGTCACTCCGAAGAAAACTTGAGTTGCCCCCCAACCCTCAACCGAAGAACCCAGGTGTAGAGGCTTTGCACCAGGAGGCAGATAGCATCCAGCAGTGGCTGGCCTCCCATGCAGGCGTGGACAGCACGTAGGATTAGTACAAGGTGGGTTTAAAACTCTTGTACTGGTAACCCCTTAAAGAGCGACTTTTTGTGTGACTATAGAATGCTATAGGCTATATAGATCCCCCTTACCATTTCCACTACTAAAAGGGTGAACACGTGCTTGGTACCTTCCTCTGATTCGTGGATAATTCAAGCAAAAAAAATGGACCCGTGCACCAGTTTTTGTAGTAAAAGGGTGTGCACTGTATCTTGTAGCGGCGTTCCATTTTACACTCATAAATCGGAAACGCATTTTGTAGTGATTTATTTTGGGATGCGTTGTGTCGTACCGGAAGCCCTATAGCCCTCTTTTACCAGTCATGCTCGGTCACATGAACATATAGCTTGGACCCTCAGACCATTTTTGGCTCTTGACTCACGATTATTTCGTGGTAAGATGAGCCCCCAAAAAATCGAAAAAAAACAAATAATGTAGAGACTTTAAGACGGAAAAATGGGACAGACTTGGTTTCAAAACCCATCAATTGAATTTGAAGTTGTGCGCTCAGATCAATTTTGCTGCCCCATAGCTCTGACGATTGCAGTTCAAAACCTCTGCGCCGTGCTTTTGTCACACCTTTTTTGGCCATCACATGCGATTATTAATTAAAATCTAAATCTGTCCCATTCTACTAGGTTCCTGCTCTTTTTGTCCAATAGTTAAGTTTCACCCCAGTTCAACGAATCCATGCTCAGAGTTCCTTCCACCCACAATGTCACAAAGCACAGATTCGATGCGTGATGTCCTAGTTTCTGGATTACTTGTGTCATGCACTGTATTTTGTAGTGACACACGCGTGCACAACCTTTTGTAGAACCTACTGCGCCCCCCTCCAGATAAGCCACAAAAAGTTCGAAAAGCATGCTTTTTATGTAGAGACTTTAAGAAGGAAAAATGGGACAGATTTGGTTTCAAAACAACCAATTGAAACTGAAGTTGTGCGCTCAGATCGTTTTTGCTGCCCCATAGCTCTGACGATTGCAGTTCAAAACCTCTGCGCCGTGCTTTTGTCACACCCTTTTTGGCCATCACATGCGATTATTAATTAAAATCTAAATCTGTCCCATTCTATTAGGTTCCTGCTCTTTTTGTCCAATAGTCAAGTTTCACCCCAGTTCAACGAATCCATGCTCAGAGTTCCTTTCACCCACAATGTCACAAAGCACAGATTCGATACGTGATGTCCTAGTTTCTGGATGACTTGTGTCATGTACTGCATTTTGTAGTGACACACGCATGCACAACCTTTTGTAGAACCTACTGCGCCCCCCTCCAGATAAGCCCCGAAAAGATCGAAAAACATGCTTTTTATATAGAGACTAAGGAGGAAAAATGAGACAGATTTGTGTCAAAACCGATCAATTGAATTTGAAATTGTGCGCTTAGATCGTTTTTGCTGCCCCATAGCTCTGACGATTGCAGTTCAAAACCCCTGTGCCGTGCTTTTGTCAAACCTTTTTTGAAAGGTCAATTCTTGGAATCCGATGGAAATCCCAAGGTTGTATTTACTTGTGCCCGGCAAATATTATGACCTGGGCCCCTGTAGCATTTCCCCTAGTAAATGCTATGACCCATTTAGTAGCGAATCATGATTTTTCATGGCAACCCGTTTTCACTACAAAATGGTTACGTAAAGTCATTTTGTAGTGACCGACATTGGCTTTTGATCCATCATAAAAAACACCAAACCATTTTGTAGCAAGGGGGGTTGGTTCAGATTCAAGCATCATTTTGTAGTATAAGGCTGTGTTTGTAAACGGTTTAGTGGGCACAACTTCTCTGCAGAATGCACACAGGGATCTATATAGATATATCATCAATTATCATGATATATTTAACAGAAGTCTGGGTCATTGGAGTTACGGAGCAACTTACTGTAGCTATCGTTTGGAGGGTGCCACCTAGTACAGTATGGTTCATAGGTGGATGAATGGATGGGCAGATTGATGATACTAAAGCGACCGTGACAGGCGATGGCAAGCGTCGAAGGTCGCCTCAAGATGTGGCAGGCATGGGAGGGTCAGCTGTTTGCTTGTAAGTGACAAAGGGAGGTGCTTTCTTTCCAATAATTTGTAGATATCTATGGACTCTATATAACTCTATAAACATAAAAATATCGCTAGGGGGCTGACGTTGGCCCGAAATCGACGGAATTCCATGCGGGACTGCAATCTGCTGTGTTGTTTCCGTGCGTGTTTTTCGCATACTGCGGGCATGCAAACTATTGATATTACCTGCGTCTCATGGCATTTTTGTGCTTACCTAAGACGGTGCCAAAATCACCTTTTGAAGCATATTTTAAAGATATCCTCCGTAATTTGCAATGTTTCGAACGGTTAACTGAGACCTCAACAACCCGCAAGACTGTGAAAGAACACCAAAATAACCTACCCTAAATAAATTCTAAACAAACCCTAAACCAACCCTAAATCAACACTAAATAACCCTAGACACTAAAACAACCGTGAGCAAACCCTAAAACAACCCTAAATAGCACGAAAATCAACTAAACAAACCCTTAAAAAAAACATAAAAAATCTAAATCAACCCTAAGCAAACCCTAAAACAATCTGAAATATATCCCGAACAAATCACAACGTAAGTAAACCCCCGATGAAACTTTGGGCGAACGTCCGCCCCGGAGGGAAAATATATATATATGTGTGTGTGTGTGGATCTGTGTGTGTGTTTTTTTTGTTAGTCGATGAGTATGTAGTTGAGAGCAAGACTTTGGAGCCCCAGTTGTATAGACACTAAACTGGTGCACCAGAACCAAAAAGAGACGAGAAATGTCAACAGTAGATCAATAAAGCCTGGTTCATGGAAAATGGAGGGTTACCCCCAAATCAAAATAGTCCATGAATAGGGTACCGGGTACCCCATCCAATTTCAGGCTGTACCGGAGTTTATTCACCTGGGGTTGACATCAGTCCATAGTTTCACTTCATTCCCCGAGGCACTTTGGCGAATCTTGAAGGTCAACTTGCCCGGTTGAAGCAGCAGCTCTCGGTGCGTTCAGAGGAGCCGGGTGGTTTTGCAAAAAAAAAACTGAGGCACCAAGCCACTCCAAACCATGGATTTCCTTTGAAGAATGGCCCAGTTATGGACAGAAAATTTGAGATACCATTGCATCTTTCCAGTCACCAGTCAGCCATGGGTTTCCAGCCATGCTGTCAGGCCTTGGAAGGGTGATACATGTAGGTGCCAACGGTCGCAAGGAGAGCCTCCGTGGTTCTGCAGAGGCCTGGCCAGGACCATGTCTCGGATGTTTCTTCTGGGCCCTGCTCCGAAGCAGTCGCATTGAGTTATCAATGGGTTATCTGAGTTATTAATGGATTATCCATTAATAACTCAGCGATAATCCATTCATAACTCAGTATGAATTCTTTGGCCAGCGGTTTCGACTCTTTTTTGTTTTTCATCCTTGTTCTGGGGCATTCTTCAGCCTAACTCAAGTAAAATCTAGGATGCATGCAAATAGTCATAGAATAGAACTTCAGGCGTATAAGTTTTGGTCATTGGAGTTTTCCTTACAAGGCCCCTGCCGCAGCTGGTGCAGCTTCCGCCAGCGTGCGCTCCCGGCGGCCAACCTTGGCGGAAGCCAGAGCTCAGCAGGACCTTGCTGCCGGGTTAGGCGCTCTAATCGACACGTGTGTTGATGCTGGAATTGCCACATGAAATGGAGGATGCCAATGAGTGAAACGACACTGGCTGTGACTCTGCAGAAAATGAAGGTTGTTAAAAGCTGGACAGCTCAGACAGCTCAGCCTCAAATTCGTCCAGGACATCCTGCAACTTCTTCAGGGTACTGCAGAGTCGCTTGAGGTTCCGCGGTGGAAGGGACAATTTTTTCCTGGAAACGCCCAACAAATTAGTGGTAGAAACTATGGGTTCCTGTAGCGTCGTATTGAAAATGATCAATTGTTCTTGATTCTGGGGCCACCATGAGAATCACAATTGGCTCGCGGCGCTCCTTCCTCTCAATACATGTAGATGGTGGTGGCTTTTGCAGTACGTCAAGCCGCCAGCACATTTCTTTACAAAAGTTTGCCAAGTATCACTCTTGAAAACTGGTTTCAAAAACGGTGTTCCTCATGTTAAACTATCACACACATGTGAAATGATTATACGTATACTGGAATGAGAATGATGATTATGCGATATAATATAATATGATATAATATGATGTTGTTCATACACTTTCTGATTATCTGATTCCCCTGTCGAATTCTGTCGTACCTGGCAGGCTGGAATGCCAGAAGCCACTTCTCCAGCTATTGAGGTCATGGCGGGGCGAAATGTTGGACCCATAAATGGAGGAGACCTTTCTTCATAGGTGGATGAATCATGGATGAACCATGGATGAACCATGGGTGAACCATGGATGAACCATGGATGAACCATGGATGAACCTATGTGAAAATGTGACCAAATAAGGGTGCTCTTCTGAAATTGGCATTGGAGCTACCACATTGACTGGTTCGTAATACTAGCTGATCCCATTGAAATGCTAGTTGTAGTTGTAATCATGATTAATGTTAAAAGATTGGGTCTGTTCCGGTACGTTTCCCTTAAACGTTTAACGCACCAAAAAAAAACTAAAGCAATGATTTCTGTTGGTTTATTCCATTGTTTTTAGTACCAACCCATAGCAAAACCCAACAAAACCAACTATTCCATGGTTTTCTCATGTTTTCCCGTAAGGTTTCCTCTAAGACACTACGGATGCTACGGGTCATCCGGACCCGTCGACCTAGGCACCACACTTGGAACAGCTTCACGCGCAGCTCCAAGATCTCCGCGGCCGCTACATCGCAGCTTGGCACAAGGCGATGTTTTTGGCACGGTGTTTTGATTGATATTATTACTTGTGTATGTATGTATATGTATATGTATGTATATACATATGTAGATATATATATATATATCGTCGATAATTAAGAAACAGAGTGGTTCGATTGTGATGGGTTTGAACTTGACCGTCAAAAGTAATTGTGGATTTGAGCAACAAACAAGTGGATGTACTATAGTCAACAATTTGACTATTACTACCATCAAAAACCGGGATGTGAGCATCAAAAATGGACAAAAATGGATGAAGCCATTGGTAATCTAACGCATCCCATCCCCAACCAAGATTCAGTCTACTTGGGATCCCAAAATAGATAGAGGGATCCCAAAATAGATAGATGCACTACTAAACCATGCTTTCAAGGGGATGCTGATGAATAATGAATTTGGGGAAGGGGCGAAAAGTTGAAGACCAAGAGTGACCGGAATCTGTTTGCTTCCAACAGAGCGCTGATGGGACCGACACCCCAAAAATCCGCTGGGTAAACCTTGGCTTGGTTGATTAGTCATGATTAGTCGTGTTTATATGATCATGTACTGTACATTACTGTACCATGTTTAGCCATCAAATTGAGATAATTATATGTTTCATACAAGGCCCCACCTCCATCCATTTCCTTTGTCTCAGGAAATGCTGGGCCGATGTGAGGAGTTCCGAGACCAGCTTTGCGCCTCACAAGCCAAGAAGGTGCGTTTTGGGAGCTTGGTCATAGCAAAAAAATGACACAGCCATGTGTAGCAAAATTTCCAAATACATACAACTATATCCAGTTACATCAATTTTTGAGAGAGAGAGAGAGTGGAGATCCTTGATTCTGTCAAAAATCACAGGTTTTTCCTGCAAAAGTCCGAGTCAAATGATCCTTTTTGTTCCCAGGGGATTCTGTGACGATGTTTTCCTCAGTGTTTCGGGGGAGAAAAACATCCTCGCAAACCTCTTTAAAAACGTGTTGGTTGTCATGTTCAGTGATTCCTTTCGCTACATCCAGCCACATCCGGCATCCGGTTATATCCGATCGTATATAACATGTGTATATATATGTAAATATATATATATATAATTAATTACACCATATGTATATATATATGTATATATACATAGGTTATTTGTTCGATGTGTTTATATGATTCATGGATTTCTATGACTTTTGCCCTTGCCTTCAGGAGGCCCAGCGCACGGCGGGGGACCAGAAACGCCGCAGCTGGGAGAAGCTGGTGGCCGAGCATCAACTGCTGGTGGATCAAGGTGCCGGCGTCAACAAAAGGCATCTAAGAAATGGATAGAAATGGAAGATCAACACAGAAAGTGTGGCAGATGTGGATATATATATATATATATGATGGTATACTAGTATGTCTTTAAAAAAAATAGATTCAAAATTAAAGCAAAAGGATTCAAAAATGATCAAGCACCGAAAATGAATGATTTGCCACCCATGGGCCATATGTATCAATTGTTGCGTCGTTGGGTGCCATAGTTTTGACTCATAACCATTTCCAAAAAGGTGACTAGCTGTTTTTCCTTGGTTGTCATCAGGTGAAGCTGAGATTGAGCGTTTGCGTCATGAGGCTGGGCTGCTTGACAAGAGATGAGGGTGGAAATGAGGTCTCATGTCAAGAAAGGACAGTCAATGAGCATCAAAATCCCAAAAATATCGACCTCGGACACATCTGGCAGTTTGGCCTCAAAGATCATTGAAATCCACCCGTTGGTGTTCAGTTGTTGATCTCGGCTGAACGTTCAAAATAGCAACAGGTGGAGGAAGCACAAGGACGACAAGAGAAGGTCCAACAGGAACGTGAGAGACTGGAACGTGCAGCCAGGTGCAATTCTCAAAGAAGAGTCGCTACTTCAATGCTTACCACGGATATATCCCTTCCGGTTTTGGGTCATATATTGGATTATATTATTGGTTTGTTGTACTGCCAGTTTTCTGCAGTTGGCGGAGCTAGTACTGTCAAACACCACTGGAAACAATTACCCCCAGAAATTCGCATGTCCAAATGGAAAATTGGTCACAGCAACCCAGAGTTTGAGGGGTGAATATGTGTTTCTTGTATCCTTCAGGATTGCAAGTTTCATGAAAATCTGCATTTGGTGCCCGATGTGGTTGCCCTGTTGTGGCCACTGCTTCCGCTAGGCAAGATCAAGCCACTTTGAAGCAGCTGCAACTGCGTTTGAAGCTGCGTCAAGTGGAAGCCAGGCACGATGTGGTGGCTGAAGGGTTTGAGTTCGCCATGAAGGGAGGGAATATAACACAAGAGCTGAAGATGAGATATCGTTGGATAGAAGGATATCTAAGGTTAGTCTTCTACTAGGATATACCCTCTGGTAATTTAACATAGCTATTGAAAATGGTGATTTATAGTGGAATTTCCCATTGAAAATGGTGATTTTCCATAGCTATGTTAGTTTACCAGAGGGTAATCCAGTGACATTGGCTTTCAGGAATGCTCCGGGATGAGGGATGGCTCAATAGCCAGGAGAGCGAGACCGGGCTGATGCGGGTGATCCAGGCTCTTGCCTGGTAGCTGCTGAAAGTGGCTGGAAAATCCGCTAGACATGGAGATGCACATGGGAAAAGAATGTCGAAACGGGGATGCATGGGGATTTGAATTGGTGAATACCCTCTGGTAATTTAACATAGCAATGGAAAATCACCATTTTTAATGGGAAAATCCACTATAAATGGTCATTTTCAATAGCTATGTTAAATTAGCAGAGGGTATATGTTTAAAAAAAAGTCGGATTGTCCACTGGCTGGTTAAATTTCCAGAGGGTCGTTGCTGCTCAAAGCTGGCAGCAAAACCAATGGACTGCAAAGAAAAGAAGAGACATGGGACTGGAGACCCCCCTTTCTAAATTCCTTGCACTTGATGCCATTTGAAGGGGAGATCAGATAAGATGGATGCGCAACACATACGTGGCACGTGCTTTTTTTGTACAGTATGACTTATCTAAAATCCAAGAACAATGCTCTATTAGGCGCCCAAATTTGATGGCAACAGCCATGGCAACCTCGAGGGCAAAAGCACTGGCAGTGGCAATGGCGGTGGCAATTTGCAGGGCAACATGGATGGAAAAAAAAACGACGGGGGTAAAGGCAAAGGTAATGGCAACATCGGTGGCAAAAACGCGGGCAAATATGTGGCGGGGATAAAAGCACGGGCGGCAAATTCAGTGGCAAAATTTGGGCTGCGAGCAAAAGCCCTTGGCAACACAGGTGGCAACTAAAGGGCCAAACTTGCATTGCGGGCAAAAGCAATAGCAACACAAGTGGCAAAGCTATGCCATAAATTGTGGCAAGGACTAAAGACTGGATGCGTAAGTGGGAAATCAATGGGAAAAGCAGAAGGCACATTGCATGGCCACATGATATTGTATGCAGCCGTTGGCTTGCACGAGCGGCTTCTGAAATTGTGACATATGCAAAGCAAGTGACCATTTTCAATCAGATGGTTGTGGTGTCAAATGATCAAACTCGGTGCTTAGAAGTTGGTGTGCTTACAGCTCACTTGGTCAGCAATTGCCGTTCGGTTGTGTTTTTGTGGGTGGGGGGTGGTGGGGTGGGGGGGGGGGGTGGTGGGGGGGGTTGATTTATGCGGGGAGGGGGAGGTGTTGTGTCTTTTTGTTTTGGTGTGTTTGTTGTGGGTTTGGTGAATTTGTGATATTTTTTTTAGTGTATTGTGGTGTGTTGTTTTTTTTTTTTGTTTTTGATGTTTTGTTTCTTTTGAGTTGGGGTGTTGTTGATTTTTTTTATAATGTGTTTTTCCTTTTTTGGTGTGTATTGTTGTTCTTTTGTTTTTTTTCTGTTGTATTTTTGATGGTTTTTTTTTTGTTTTTTTTTTCCTTTTTTTTTTTTTTTTTTTATTTTTTGTTTACTTTTTTTTTTTTTTTGTTGTTTTTTTTTTTTTGTTTTTTTTATTTTTTTTTTTTGTCTAATGGTTTTCTGTGTCTAAGCCATCCTGGAACATTGTGGGCACAGAAAAAGGTGTTGAACAAAATTTTGCCCAGGCAGCTGCCCACCTGCCCGTCAAGAAATAAGCTTGATTTTTGCAAAAATGTGCCTTTTTTTGATAAAAATAGGCCTTGGTTTCGTGTTTTATTCATAGAGTCGGTGGGTGTTGCCCCCGTTGAAGGTGCAATAGGGCTGCCATGATTTTTGTCAACATCTCTCTCTATAGTTGGTGTTGCCCAAAAATTTGCCAACACTTTTGCCAGCACTTTTGCCATCAACTTACCACCCCGTTTGCCGCCAAAAAGTCTCTCACACCCTTTCTGTCAACATGTGCCATGTACACTCAACGCCTTTTTGTCACTGAAGGTGTTTGCAACCTTTTCTGCCCAAAAAGCTGCCATCAAATTTTTGACACCTCTGCTGCCGCCAAAATGTGATTGCTATCCTTCCGGCTCAGTTTTTGCCATGCAAAGTTGCCACCCCCTTTGCCACCAAAATACGGCTGCCTCATTTTTGCCATCACATTCTGCCATCAAACCTGCCACCAACTCTTCATTGCCACTGAAACTGCCGCCCATATTGCCATATCTAACTGCCACCGCCACTGAACTTGCCACCAAACTTGCCACCTTAAACTGCCACGAACCTCTGGCATAAGATAGAACCAGATGAAAGCATAATTCCCTTTTGAATCTTAGATAAACTATGATAATGGTAGACACTTGATCGTTGAAAACGATGGCACGCTCAGGGTGTGGAGACATGTCCCTGCATTCAGATATCCCTCCACCTCGTTGCAGCCCAAGACTAGGGAGACCACGAACGGCGATGCCCAAGGGCCCCAAGTGAAGTTTATTTTGCCGACTGAAACCAGTTGTTAGACCTTACCTTGCGTTAAAGCCAATTCTTAGATAAGATGCTGTATTGCATGTACAAGTGGTACGCCCACAGAATGACAAATGCCCAGACATACCAGGTTTCGTACATAGATCGTCAAGAGCCACCATCAACCCTTGATGCTTCATGTGTGGATTGTGCGTGACCCCATTTGTTGGACATACTGTACACACCACTTCCCATGATGCCCTGCCTAGACCTACATGCTCCTTCTCTGGGGTCAGGTTCTAAGTCCATTAATGCCAATGGGCCCTGATCGGATGGATTGTCATGAGTCATAACCCCAGTTTAGTTGGTGAAATCCCCAATGTGTTGGTGAAATCCCTGGTTGTTTCCCTCCAAATTCCCAGTTGTTGGGCATCCCCCCATCGAAATATCAGCGCATGGCGCCCTCGACCGCAGCCCACCCGGAGAAGCCGCTCCCAGCCGCCCCGGACGCCATGGTGCGCCAGGGTTGCCCGGCGACGAAGGCGTTTGCGCTAATGATGTGCCGCAGTATTCTCTTCATTGCTGTAACTTTCCATGTGGGTTTGTCCAAAAAATGCGGTGTCCCGATCTTGGTAGTTGTTGCAATGTGGGTCTTGACGCAGGTGGGCGTGTTTCTACTGGCAGCTGCAATTTTTGGCGGTCCAAAGGGCTGGAGCTTTGCCGAAGTCTCGGATGAGAGGACATGGTAGTATCACGGGCCACACCGCAGGGAAGACATTCTTCCTAAAGATACACCAACGACATGAATGCAACACAACCTTCTGCAATATCATTGCAAATCAATGTGAATCCTATGTATTATAATCATATGTAATCCTTTTGATACAGTATATATATGTGTGTGCATAAAAATATAAGTATGCGCGTGTGTGTGTGTGCGTTTGGTATCCTAAACCGTGCTGGGTCATATTGTCAAGCCGTCACAGTATGCGTGCAGGATACCACTGGCAGATTTGAAGGTTGGAGAAGAGATGGATGCCCGAATTAAGAAACCCTGGAGAATGTTCGGCTGGCCACTTGGCAGCGTTCAAGCGACGGCTTGCAGGTTGTCTCAGGCATGGAGGAGTTGTAGATAGTTGTAGGCTGTCAAAGTGTGGAAGGAGATGAGTGCAATCCACTTGACTTCTCATTGTTACAGGGCTTGACATCCACTTACGCTCTATGAAGTTCGCCCTGGCTCATCCTTCACTTTGCAAACTCCACACCGTCTCCATCCATTTTTTTCGTGCAAAAAATGTGATCGCTGTCTGTCTCTAAGATCTGAAAGCTCCGTGTGCCTGTGAGCAAATGCATCTCACCGGGGACGAACGTTTATGGGCGCTTGGAATTTAGTTACATAAGGTACATGCTATACATGTTGGCACACACCAGAGCCGTGCCATGCCCAACTTCACAGGGATCACATGATCATCCCGGCCTTCAGAGTCACTGCGCAGTCGAGGTTTGTAGACATTGGAGCGACCAAAGATGCGTTTATGGAGTTCGAAGAAGGCTGTGATGGCTTCCCAGTAGATGGAATCAACACGTGGCGTCACTTGTCGGTCTTTGAGCGGTACATGATCCCATTCTGGGGCGTATGGCCTGCCACACGGAAGTAGGAAAGGCTCGTTGGCCGCACGTGCAACTTTGGTTGATACTCATTTTGCCCCCACTCATTGCCATAGGAATCCCCTGGTAAAAACCGATATAAACGGGTGCTCAAACATGCTCAGTGTGTAACCTGAGGCAAAGGAGCCTCGTTAACTGTGCGAATACTCGAGACTTGGCTGGCCGACGTTACCACATTGGCCGACATGCATCCCATTTTGATAGTTGCTTCAGAATCATGCTTGTTGCCCAGGCGTACATAGGATATCCATGGATCTCCCCAAATAGTTATTTGCGGGTGATCATCCAGGTAATGGTTGGGATGCACATCCAAGTAGTGACTATCGAAGAGTCACCTGAGATTGGCTCAGCTCAAAAGATTCCCCTCTCAGACAGCCCCACGTCGGGTAACTTTTCCAAAGCGTTGCTTGGTTTGGCCCACCCAGGTTAATCATAGCTAATCCATCATGACTGCGAAATCTACTGGCCATGATTGACTAATTTTGTGTATGTATATATATATATGTGTGTGTGTGTGTTTGTGTTATCCATCTATCCATCCATCCATCCATCTATCTATCTATCTATCTGTGTGTGCATGTATATATGTATATATAATGGTTAGCTTGGCCAAAATCTCATACCTACTAGTCTAATCCATCATAATCCGTCTACCAAAACCGGATTTTCCGCAGCTTCTCAGAGGATTTGGACGTCGATCGGATTTATCTCACCACTCGGACTGGGCCCCTGGAGCGTCCGCCGCGCTTTCGCCGGGCGCCAACGGCCGAGGATGTCGAATCCTATGGTGCCTTGGGTGGTTCTTGTTGGATCTATGATCAAAATAAATAAATAAATAAATAAATAATATATATATATACATATATATAGTGTATATATATATACATTATATCTATAATTATATAGTTTTAATTATTGATATATAATATTATATATATATGTGTGTGCGTGTGTGTGTGTGTGTGCGTGCGAGTGTGCGTGTGAAATGTTAGGATATGTTGATGATATTCCAGTCATTCACAAAGTAATTATGAATCCATCAAGCCATAGCCTTCAAAAACATCAACATGCAACGGCAGGTAACATTTTGGTAGAGTCCCTGTCATCGCGTCATTGCAGCATGATTTGTGTACTTGTGGCCAGGCAACATGGATGCCAACGAAGCTTGGCTGATATCAAAGTGTGTCTCAACTTTGTCCTTGTTGAATGCTGCAGCAAAAAATGAAGTAAACCCAATGTCAAACACCATCCTGGGGATGACATTGGGTCTATCCGTTTTTGACTAGAATGATGTTTCTTTGCCCCCTGTATCCCCTGGTACTGGCTGGTTACTAGGATGGTTCATGGAATTAGGTTTACCCTCTAGTAATTCAAGATACCTATATGGTATATATGGCATACATGGCCCATTTGGTTCGATGATTTATATACCTCTATTTTTTCATTTTTGTTTCCATAGCACACTGGTAGTCATTACCAGAAGGTACCCTCTGGTAATTTAACATGTATAGTTGATTTACCTATTAAAGATGGTGATTTTCCATAGCTGGCTATGATAGTTTACCAGAAGTACCACGTGTCACCAAGGAAATCATTGACACCAGCGTTTGCGGAATGAGTCCAGGAGGCATTTGGCTTCGCGTTCCATCGCGCAATGCTGGTGAGGATTTCCGTACACTGCTGCGACTAGAGGATTGCGAGGTGGCAATTGGGAAGATGTGGGGCCCCCGGGGCGCTCCGATATATGTGTGTATATATATATATATATATGAATATAGCAGAGATATATATATATATAGCTATATATAGCTATATATATAGTTTTTGTATTGGCAGATATGTATATATATATAGCTATATATATATAGAGCTATATATATAGTTTTTGTATTGGCAGATATGTATATATATATATACATATACGATTATATACGCATATAGTTGTTCATTTATTCATGTACTTATTCATTGACGCATGCATTAGTTTACTTGTTTTAATAGAAACATGCGTGTGATTCGAACATGTGCATATGGAGCATTTGTGCACACATGTTTTTTCCATCTTGGCAGCTCAACAGAGCTCGTTCATTGCAAAGCATGGATCAGGTTCGTTGGCTACAGTAATTGTTTGCAAGTGATGTAATGCTGAATTGTTATTCTGTCTGCAAAGGTACTTGTACGTGATATGACATTCCTCCCCGTTGGAAGCATTGGCACAACGTTGCCTTCCATGGATGAGTTGGGGAAGCCCATCATCAAAACCATAAACCTAATGACCTAATGGCTTTAGTTTATAAACACACTTAGCTACGGGGCACCACCCTGCAGGAATCCGTGAAAGAGTCCGCTCGCCTTGGAATGACGGTGCCTGTGAGTGTCACGGGCATTGACCGGGAGAAGAAGCGTGTGCTTGTGACCATGACCCTCGTTTGCACGTGATCATCCCATGGCAAAGGTAAGTCCCCATTTCGTGGTCCCATTAGTGGCTTATAACCCCAGCTACAGACCAGTTAATAAGTGGGGTTATGTATAAGCCCACTACTTACTGGTCCTTGTGGGACAATCCTCGCAGGCAAGAATTGTGATCTTGCTTTGCCATTAAAATAACATGCCTTGTGGAAGAATGGAAGAATAATGAATGAACATGGATAGTTGCCTTAGGCCGATCGCAATCCTTCAGAATATATGCTGGGACATGCTGGGACCTTGCTAATCATACCAAATTGCCAAATTGCCTTTCCAAATCTTCAAGTGCAAGGATGACTGCTAAAAGATAGATCAAATTACTTTACAAAAAATGAAGTGAATGAAATTGTATATTCATAACATATCTCAAGGTACGAATGAATAGTACTTTCTGAAAGTAAATTCTAAGATATGAGGATTGTAGAAAGCTTGGAATATTTTGAAGCAGAATATGTTCGGCTTCTTTAAAAATATTGATTGAAAATAAATGATACATGTGACTAATTCTGTAGTATAAAAATAAATTCTAAGAATAATGATTTTGAGAAATTATGATGTTTTTATTGTAAAAAAATACGAATTTAGATATAAAACAATAAAATCTAAAAAGTTGATGTATTCCACGATTCCGAATGTACATTATGCAGAATAATATTGCAAAAGAGTTTAATATGACAGTCTTGTACGTTGATTGTGGAATGGGAATGTAGAGTGTAAAGATGTGTGAAATATGATGTATGAAGCATATTAAAGCGTAGAATTCGGTGCGGAGAGTAGGGTCTAGAATACGGAATATAATGCAGGGTGTGGAAGCCGAGGAGTTAAAAATATAATTTTAAAATATAAATTTTGAAATATATAAAAATATAATTTAAAAATTATATATATATATATGTTATGCTATAGATGAAAATAATAAATAAATAAATAAACAAATAAATAAATATATATATATATTTTAGCAAAATATTGAATATCGATGAAATTACGGTATAAATGAAATCCGGTGCTGTTGGTATGTTTCTTTAGACGTAATATGTAGGTATATGTAGGTATAGTTCTCCTTAGAGTTGGCTCAAGGGCGCTAAGATGGAGCCAGGGCAAATCGGAAGATACATATTAATTTTATATAAATCTAATTAGATATAGATTTATTAATCCATCATACATATAATTTTTAAATTTACAATTCCCCACATCACTGTGTGGGGTTCTTGTTTTTCGCTTGGGTCCCGCCGGGGCTCCGCCTCCGCCTCCTCCTCCGCCGCCTCACTCACTCACTCACTCAGTCAGCGGCTCATCACAGCTCCACTCCTCACAGCTCCACTTCTCACACCTCACCTTTCACTTCACATCACTTATCACATCACCACTCGTCACCGCTCCACTTCTCACACCTCACTCATCATATCACAGCACAACTCATCACAGCTCCGTGGTCAGCAGACTGCCTTTCGCGTGGCAGGCGCAGTACACAGAGCCTCCTGGACGAGCTGCGGCGCGCGTGGCCGCCGCTGGGGCCGCGGCTGCCTTTCGCGTGGCAAGTGCAGTACACAGAGCCTCCTGGACGAGCTGCGGCGCGCGTGGCCGCCGCTGGGGCCACGGCTGCCTTTCGCGTGGCAGGCGCAGTACACAGAGCCTCCTGGACGAGCTGCGGCGCGCGTGGCCGCCGCTGCCTTTCGCGTGTCAGGCGCAGTACACAGAGCCTCCTGGACGAGCTGCGGCGCGCGTGGCCGCCGCTGGGCCCGCGGCTGCCTTTTGTGTGGCAGGCGCAGTACACAGAGCCTCCCGGAGGAGCTGCGGCGCGCGTGGCCGCCGCTGGGGCCGCGGCTGCCTTTCGCGTGGCAGGCGCTGTACACAGAGATACACAGAGCCTCCTGGACGAGCTGCGCGCGCGTGGCCGCCGCTGGGGCCGCGGTTGCTTTCGTGTGGCAGGTACCACTTATCATTCATATTTCATCACCACTTTTCACATCTTACTCATCACTTCTCATTTACCATTCTCACA